TCTGTAATATTCCAATGTTACCTCAGTTGTCTGGAGGAGCACACTTGCACTATAACAGACAAACAGTAGCAAGGAAAACTCCTGGAACATGCACAGCGTGAAAAGTTGCAGAATTTCAGCTATGGAGCATACATTGATAGGAAATAAAGCAGTATGCACACCTGGAAAATTTTGCAGGTGCAAACGGTATTGAAAGGATCACTTATAACTGCCCCAATACCATCATTACCATAAATAATCATGAACTAGCAATAAAAAGTGATGTCAGGAGGGACCCTTAAAAATGCTTAATGCTGGTTGAATCGTGCCCTCTGCATTGACCAAAGTGGTCAAGTGGGCACGTGTGGGGTAGGGTGATCTCGTAGGTAAACTGGTCCCAGGTTTTTAAGGGGTTTATATACTAATACTATTTCCTTGAACCTGGTAAATTCTTTATATCACCCATCTTCAGGATTTTAAGCTAGCAGATATGGGCAGTTCTGCTTTAAGGTGCGTTGCCTATAAAGTATGAACAATGAAACAGGTGTGGGGTTTTTCTGGGAAATGTCGTTTGCCTTGAAATGTACCTAAATGTATTGTGAAACCCATTGGGAAAGCTATTTAACTATTTGCACAGGGAACAGTTGGCTCAACAGAATGACCACCACTTTGATCCTTCCAAATCCTCTTTTCTTCAGAACAACTGGTTGTCCGGGTGAATTATGAGATTTCTCAAAAAATATCCAATTAGCTGCTTTTGACTTGAAGTACTGGAATTGTACTCCGGGGCACTGCAGTGTGTTTCAATGAACTTGACGTATGCTATTTCTTGTAATGCATAAAATAACCTGGCAAACGAGGTTGGTAACACTGGCCTCTTGCTCATTTGAGATGAGTTCAGCCCATAGACAAGATTTGAACTGGAATGACTTTGTCCAGAGTAAGTCTGGTTAGGAAGGAGAGAGCCATGAAAGCAGCCTCTGCCAAGCTGGTGCCCTCCAGATGTTTTGAACTGCAACTTGCATCAGCCTTAAGCAGAGGTTGGATGGCCATCCGCCATCTTTGATTTAGCTGAGACTCCTGCATTGCAGGGGGTGTACAGCTCTATGATTCAGTGGTACAATCATGGATGTGTCCAAAGAGGCCACACCCTGCGACGTTGTGGAGTGACTCGAGTTAGTGTGCTGTGTCTAAGCCAGACACAGTGACATGTCCCAGTTATAAGTACTATATAGCCTGTTCAGACAGCCCATATTTGTCGGAAGATAGTAATAATAGTAATAATTAAGGTATACTTCAGGTATAGGCGTGTATTTGAGCCATATAAGCTATTCGATATTTGGTAGAATTGTTAACAAATCTGTAATTGTGGCTCAATCCTCTTTCATTCGATGCTGCTCTCTTGGGGCAAGGGCTGGGGGACATGTGGGGCTTTATCCCCTTAAGCGGGTCTCTCCCTGCCCTCTGGGCTCCCAAATTCTTTTCAGTCTTGTAAACACCTGGGGTTGGATTACTTTGTGGAAAGGGTCAGTCCCTGGTCAGCCCTCCACTCCAAATAAAAGCTTTGGACTCCAAATAAAGGCTGAACTTTAAAAAATAATAATCCATATATACTGGCCTTCGGAGTACATAGTAGGGGAGTGTGCTGCCCGCAAGATTTGACTTGCATCTCATAGCTTTGGGGATCATCCCCATGTGTTTCAGAGTCACTCTGTGTCCTTCCAATTTGACTTGTCATTCAGGGCCAAACTAGATCTGTTAAAAATTGAGCTCATTCTTCCACCATATTCAGTATAATGTAGAATCTTTTAAAAAAAAGCCTGCTATAACAACTTCTTCTTCTCTTTTCCCCACAGAAGTTGTTGAAATACATAGACCTCAGAATGGATTAAGCTTGATACATCCAGGGGTGTGTGTGTCTTTCTCTATGTGTGTGTGCACAGGACATTTTTAAAGTTTGATTTTAAAAACAAAGCAAAGGGAAAACGTGTAACCTTTCCGCTTTCTGCCAGAACTGGGTGCAGTTCTCCCCTTGTGAGAGGACGAAGCTTGCCAGATTTCGGAGCTACCGTATTTTTCCATGTATAAGACTAGGTGTTTTTCCTAAAAAACAATGTCAAAAAATGGGGGGGGCCTTATACGCGGATACATCTCCATTTTCTTAAATCAGGGTCCCCAAAAATAGGTGGGCATCTTATACATGGGGGCGTCTTATAGATGGAAAAATACAGGATCTTCTGTGGTTCTGCTTCAAGGACAGGCTTTCCCCCAGTTTTGTTGTGGGCAGCAATCACAGGTCCACGGGGTGGTAAGAGAGGATGGATCCTCAGGAAAGATGGGCAGCAAAGTATCACTCCCTCCAGCAAAGAACCTGTTACCCAAAGGGTAGATGTTTGGGGGCAGGCTTCTCCAGAACACGCCCCCATCCCTGGATTTTTAGGAATCACAGCCTGTTCTCTCTCTCTCTCTCTCTCCTCTTTCTCTCTCTGAGAGAGATCTCTTCTTTGACCATGAATGATGAAAAAAAAATCACGTATCCCTAAGGAATACAGTGGTGGAGGGGAAAGTATTGCCCTGATTCACCGTGTACAGTGGTACCTCAGGTTACATACGCTTCAGGTTACAGACTCCGCTAACCCAGAAATATTACCTCGGGTTAAGAACTTTGCTTCAGGATGAGAACAGAAATCGTGCTCCGGCGGCGCAGCGGCAGGAGGAGGCCCCATTAGCTAAAGTGGTGCTTCAGGTTAAGAACTGTTTCAGGTTAGGAATGGACCTCCGGAACGAATTAAATACGTAACCAGAGGTACCACTGTAATTCAGAGGCTGTGCACACCTCAAGCACGCACATCTGCATGCAACATATAATTTGGCATTTATTCAGCTGCTGGCAAAGCTTTGTTCATGGGCTCGACAAGCAGACTTCCACACTGAATTGAAGACCAGGATTGCTGTTCAGTGCTCTTCTTTGCTGTTCAGTGCACCCCTGAAGATGTTTTGAATGGTAAATGTACTGCCAGGCTTATGGCTGCGTCGAGGCCAGGGAATAGGTTTGGAAGGATTTTCCATTTTATTTCCATCTTCCCCTGCGTGCACTCCCAAAAGAGAGTTTGTGAGGAAGGAAACAGAAATGTGAATTTGCTCTAGAAGCCTCATGGTCCAGGATCATTTTTTATGTCAAGGTCTCTGTACAGAAACTCTCCGATCTGACACTGGATGCTCCTGGGAATTTCCAGTACAAAGCTCCGGTCAATGATAGATATGTACCTCCAGTTGCATTAATGCTATTTTTTAAACTGTCGTCCTCCCCTGCAATAGGAGGAAAACCTCTCCTTACTACTTGGTTATGAGCAAGGTTTTTCCACACTGGAAGGAACGAAGAAAATGTTGGGTGTGTGACTATCGGAGCTCGGCATATAAAATGCTCTGGAGTATTATCCAATCTCACATCAGTTGATTGTGTTGTATGTGCTTTTTTTTGCCGTGACCTACTTTTCTAAAAGTTATTGCGTGGTCTTCTACATCCTCCTTTGTTTTCCCATTGTTGGAGAAGGTAGATTGGATGGAATGGACTATGAATTTGATCCGGTATGTTCTTACCGGGTTTGTCTTTTCTTTTTCATTTTAGGTGGAATATTTTCTATTCTATTCTATTCTATTCTATTCTATTCTATTCTATTCTATTCTATTCTATTCTATTCTATTCTATTCTATTCTATTCTAAACTTTTAAAAAAAGGAACTTTCACCCACCACGAGTTTGCCTGCCCCCAGATATGCCTGTTGCAGGAGATTGTAGGAGGCAGAGGTTCCGTCTTGCGCCTAAGATTGAGGGGGCCTGGTGTGTGTTGAGTTGTGTCATGTGTGCGATGTGCGCCATACATCATATGCTTGGCGACATCACATCGTTGGGAGGAAGCCACGCATGGAGCCCAGCATGGCACTGCTTCCTCTCTTGAGCTCAGGAGGAGCCAGTCGCTTGGCACCAGCCTCTTCTTTGCCATCCAATATTGAGGGGGCCGAAGACTTCTCCGCCCTTGGGAGTTGATGCGCCTGGTGGGATGTGTTTGGGGGCCTTGCTCTCTTCAGCATGAGTTCTGTGGGATATACCTAGTGCAGCTGCATTCTGCTGCGGGAGATTAGCTGCCCGTAAAGGGGTATGTTGGTTTCTTGTGGTCTTCTCATTGGAGAATCTCTGATAAGGTTGGAAGAACTCCAGGACTCCCTGGAGTGTGCTGGAAATCCTCATTTGCAGAAGATTCTCCCTTAGGAGTCAACTTGTTTTCCTGTTGGAAGACCTGCACTGTGTTGTTCCTCCATTTCTTGGTGCCTTCAGAAGGAAGGTACCATTGAGTGGTCTAATGTGGAACTCCCAGGAATGTTTGTTTGCTCCCATGTTAAGATTTGGATAGCATCAAAACACTGGCTTTCAGTTTTGCCCCAAAGCTCTCCAAGTTACTAATTGCTGCTTTGCTTCCACTGTTGCTCTTAACGTTTTTGTTGTTGCTGCTGCCGCACAACACATCACTGTACACAAATGTGGTTTTTTATTATTTTTATTCTATGCTAATTACTTGTTTCATACTGTTATCTGCCTTGCGGCAGGATATAATGTTTTAAATGAATGAAATAGGTAGCTGGGATATAACTTTAGGGAAACAGCAGCATATGTACATTGTGTACCGCCAGCTCTGAATAGAGTTGGTCTGTACGTTTGGAATGGTAATTTCTTTTTGTGGGACACACGTTCTCTGCACATCTGTGTAATTTCCCAAGAGATTTCCTCACTGACTAACATTAGGAGCGGCTCCCCAAATGCACAAATGAATTGTGTGCATGGAGGGGCCCCTGGCATCCAGTGAATGCCACAAGCCCTTGGGAACATGGAAGTTCCATGTTGTTAATGAGCCCATAGGCTATTGACCCGGGGCACCGAGGGTGCAGAATCGCACAGACACAGAAGCCTGCTTTGCAATATGTTTGGGGGCCTGTGACTTAATCCTCTTCCTCTTCTATTTGCAGCTTGTCGGGGAAGAGAAACGTGTTGGGACACGAACTGTCCTCGTTGGCCACCATCCGCTTCCCACGCCAGAGGCTTACATTCCGCAGAAGTTCTGCTCTAACCAAATAGTCTCTTCCAAGGTACGTTTGCCGCATGAATGCTGTTGCGGGAATGGCATGCGAGCTCTTGACAATTCATGTGAACACCGTAATAACCATGCTTTAATTGCTGCACCGGCCCACCCGACCTGTTTTTAGCTTCACAACAACCCTGCGGAGTATTTTAGGCAGAAGGGACGTGGCCGGCCGAAGGTCACCCAGCGAGCATCATGGAAGAGTGGAGCAGGTTCTCCTGGTCCTTCATGGTTTAGAGACTCTTCTCATAACCTGCAGTACTTAGATCCTGTTCAGGTTACAGTTCTACTCCAGAGTGTGTCGTCAGCAAAAGCAATTTTGTGTTCTGTTACTTTTCCCCCAGACTTGTTTTGAACTTGGGAATCACTCTGACCATCATTAACCTTATGACTTGATAATGAGTTATGAAGATCACTCGCAAGCTGTGCCTGGTTTTTGTTTTGGGGGGGTTGGGGTGTCTTTTGTTTAAAGCTTACACTTTGTTAGTGATCCAGCTCATCCACGAGGTCCTCCAGGCATAATAAGAAATCCTCTTGCAAAAAGGCAGTCTGTGAGACCCGTTATCAGTCTGGTGCACTTATTCTGCTGCTATTTTGCAGCTCTGTTTGTTACAGCTAAGAATAAAACCTATGCATGAAGGAACTCTTTCCCAATACCGCAAGGTGTTCCAGTTTTAGAACTGCATGAAACACAAAAGACCCGTAGTTCCTCTTTTGTAGCTTCTTCCGTCTGGCACAAGTAGCCCAGCTAATGGCTTTATTACATTTACGAGTGGGAACTGCAATAAAATGGTACAGAGGGTATTGTCCGGTGTTCCAGCTAACCAACCGTATCTTCTTCCAAGACATCCCATCCGGTTATTATTGTTATTTGATAAATTTGTATGCTGCTCCTCATCCAAAGATCTGAGGGTGGTTTGCAAGACAAAAATACAAAATGATAATTCAAAATACATAATGGAAAAAACAACAAAAACCCCAATAACCCCGCTCCCACAAATACGTTCAAAAAGCCATAGAAAGTTAATCAGCTCAACACCTGGTTGAAGAGGAACGTTTTTGCCTTGTGCCTAAAGATATGTAATGAAGGCTCCAGACAAGCCTCCATGGGGAAAGCCTTCTGCGAACAAGGAGCCACCACAGAAAAGGCCCTTCTTGAGTTGTCATCCTCCAAACCTCTCCTGGAGGAGGTGGCCTCAGATGGTGGGTTGCAGGGTCTGGGTAGGCTCATATGTAGAGAGGGGGAGTGCTTGAGCTATTGCACTTCGCTCTCTTACACACAGACACACACAGAGTTCTCTGGCTCCCCCCGCCCCGCCCCAATAGACACTGAGCATGGTCAGTCCTCATTGAACTGTTGTGTTGTTGTTGTTGTTGTTGTTGTTGTTATTTTGTCCCCTTGGCTTTTTCTTTCTTGCTTCTTCTTCACCCTTTGGGATTTTTGCTGATCCAACCTCCTCGTTTTCTCAGCCACACTTCCTCCAAGCACTCGCCATCTGCGCGTGCCGTCACAGGGAGTCATATATAGAACCATTTTGGAGCGCTGAAGCTGGTGAAATTTCCAGATAATTAGAAAATACAAAATGATTGTCAATTATACAAGGAGAGCTTGGATAAAATATTAGGGTCGACAACCCTAAATATTTTTTTAATGTGCACAAATGTCCGTTTCTTCTGTGCAGCAATATTTGCAAAGCAGAATGAAAGCATAAATTGCACCCGAACTTCAATTTTTTATTTTTGTTTTTTAAAAAGAGCTAATGCAAACCAGGCAAGGCACAGCGCAAGCTGCACCTCTTGAATCTTTTAATATATTTACTGTTGCATTGTCTGGGAAGTCTTGCTCTCATTGTGTGTAGCTCGGAAGGTGGAACAAAAGACAACAGTTTTTCCAAGCCAGGAAAGCAGGTGGCTGCTATCAGCGGGCAAAAGGGGAGTTGCGTAAAACATCGTGACAACCTCCTCTAGTGGTTGACATTCAGCAGATTCTGTGCATCAACTGCTGTATGTTCCATGTGCCTTTTGTGTGCCGGGAAAAGGTCGGGTTCCCATACCGCTTTCTCTGCTCCGCAAAGCATCCATCTGCACTTTTCACGTGGTCTCGCAAAATGACTCAGTGCAAACTCAGCTTCCCCCACTTGCTATTTAGCGGACGAGCCTGATTTGGGGGGGGGGGGGCTTTCTTGTGGGTGTGGAGCTCCTGGTGCTTGCTGGATCAATTCAGAAGCTTGTCCTTTGAGTGGTGAAAGTCTGGGCTGTGCAGTAGGCAGATGACAGGATTGACCCTGGAGCTGGACCAACGTAGGAAAGGTTGTCCTTGCCAGGCTAACAAGAGGAGAGTCAGCGGCTACTCTCGATGGACACAGTCATTCCAGCCCTTGGAATCTGTTTACAAGAGAGATGCTGCAGCCCGTTGCCCTAATGTCTCACTATATGGGCTGGCGGATCATGGAGCTATCGGTTCTGGGTTCTAGCCCTTGCAGTGCAGAGCTTTCCAAACTGTGTGTCATGACACATTAGCGTGTCGGCTACAGTGTGTAGGTGTGTCGCACGAATGCTCCCCACGCTCCTCCTGGGGCTGGAAAGGGTTTAATTTAACCTCCAGTTTGCTAGTAAAACTGAATTACTATGTCGTGAAATATGCATGTCTAAAAAGTGTGTCACCAACAGGAGAAGTTTGGGAAGCTCTGCAGTAGCACAAGAGAGGAGTTGTTGTTGTTATTAAATCTGTATACCATCCTTCATCCATACATTTCAGGGCAGTTCACAAAATAATAATAATAATAATAATAATAATAATTTTATTTATACCCCGCCCTCCCCGACCAGAACCGGGCTCAGGGCAGCTAACGTCAATAAAATTACAATAAAACATAATAGGAAACAAAAAACAAAAAAACCCAGTTAATTAAAATAGGGGTTAAAATACCATTTAAAATGCAGCCTCATTTTAGTAGCAGTCCATTAATCAAAACCATAAGGGGAGGGAAACATAAGGGTCAGACTGAGTCCAAACCAAAGGCCAGGCGGAATAGCTCTGACTTGCAGGCCCTGCAGAATGATGTCAAGTCCCGCAGGGCCTGAGTCTCTTGTGACAGAGCGTTCCACCAAGTCGGGGCCAGTACTGAAAAGGCCCTGGTCCTAGTTGAGACCAATCTAATCACCTTAAGGTCCTCCGCAGGACATACCAGGAGAGGCGGTCCCGTAGGTACGAGGGACCAAGATAAAAACACAAACTACAGAATAAAAACAAGAACGAAAACAAAAGAAAACAGTAGCCCCCTTCCACGAAAGGGCCACATTAAACCAAAGAAACACAGCACACAAAACAACCAGCCGTAGCAATGATTACTTTTGCTGCCAGGTCTCTACTGCAGCTGGATTTGGCTGGCCTAGGAAGTGGCATACCCCCTCCTCTGTTAATTCCCACAACCACCCTGTGAGGAAGCCACGGCTGAGAGGCAGTGACTGGCTCTGGGTCAACCCAGGGAGCTTCATGGTCGAGTGGGGATCTGAACCCTGGCCTCCCAGGTCCTGACCTAACACTCTTAGCTGCTGCGCCACCCTGGCTCTCACTGCACTGTGAGGGAGACCACAACATTTCTGAAGACTATACTATTGATCAGTAGCTTGAGAAGACCCAAGTAGGCTGGGATTCTGTAAGCCAGTGGAGGTCCCTTCCCACTGACTTGGTATTGTTGAGGCAGAGGAGGAGCCAAGAGGTTGTATCAAATGCATACCTTGCCAGAGCAATATGTTTGGCAGCCTTTCGTTTCAAACCAAGCGACTGAAGACACGGTGCATTTTGCCATTACGTTTGGAAGCACTTTCTGATATTTACCGTATTTTTCGCACTATAGGACGCACTTTTTCCCCTCCAAAAATGAAGGGGAAATGTGTGTGCGTCCTATGGTGCGAATGCAGGCTTTCGCTGAAGCCTGGAGAGCGAGGGGGGTCGGTGCGCACCGACCCCTCTCGCTCTCCAGGCTTCAGGAGAGCCCCACCGCCAGCCCCACAAGCTGGGGGACAGCGGGAGAGGCGCAGCGCGCCATTCCCGCTGTCCCCCGACTTGGTTAGAAGGCTGGCGGGGGGAGAAGCCTGCTCCTCCCCGTCGCCAGCCCCGCAAACTCGGGAGACAGCGGGAGAGGCGCAGCGCGCCATTCCCGCTGTCCCCCGACTTGGTTAGAAGGCTGGCGGGGGGAGAAGCCTGCTCCTCCCCGTCGCCAGCCCCGCAAACTCGGGAGACAGCGGGAGAGGCGCAGCGCGCCATTCCCGCTGTCCCCCGACTTGGTTAGAAGGCTGGCGGGGGGAGAAGCCTGCTCCTCCCCGTCGCCAGCCCCACAAACTCGGGGGACAGCGGGAGAGGCGCAGCGCGCCTTTGCCGCTGTCCCCCGACTTGGCTAGAAGGCTGGCGGGGGGGAGAAGCCTGCTCCTCACCGTCGCCAGCCCCGCAAACTCGGGGGACAGCGGCAGGGGCGCAGCGCGCCATTCCCGCTGTCCCCCGACTTGGTTAGAAGGCTGGCGGGGGGAGAAGCCTGCTCCTCCCCGTCGCCAGCCCCGCAAACTCGGGGGACAGCGGCAGGGGCGCAGCGCGCCATTCCCGCTGTCCCCCGACTTGGTTAGAAGGCTGGCGGGGGGAGAAGCCTGCTCCTCCCCGTCGCCAGCCCCACAAACTCGGGGGACAGCGGGAGAGGCGCAGCGCGCCTTTGCCGCTGTCCCCCGACTTGGCTAGAAGGCTGGCGGGGGGGAGAAGCCTGCTCCTCACCGTCGCCAGCCCCGCAAACTCGGGGGACAGCGGCAGGGGCGCAGCGCGCCATTCCCGCTGTCCCCCGACTTGGTTAGAAGGCTGGCGGGGGGAGAAGCCTGCTCCTCCCCGTCGCCAGCCCCACAAACTCGGGGGACAGCGGGAGAGGCGCAGCGCGCCTTTGCCGCTGTCCCCCGACTTGGCTAGAAGGCTGGCGGGGGGGAGAAGCCTGCTCCTCACCGTCGCCAGCCCCGCAAACTCGGGGGACAGCGGCAGGGGCGCAGCGCGCCTTTGCCGCTGTCCCCCGACTTGGCTAGAAGGCTGGCGGGGGGAGAAGCCTGCTCCTCCCCGTCGCCAGCCCCGCAAACTCGGGAGACAGCGGCAGGGGCGCAGCGCGCCCTTCCCGCTGTCCCCCGACTTGGTTAGAAGGCTGGAGGGGGGAGCCTGGTTTTGCGGGAGGCGGGGGAATCCCCCCGCCTCCCAGGAAAGCCAGGAGAAGCCGTGCAGCCCTTTTAAAAGGCGCACGGCTTCTGCCGGTTTTGCGGGAGGTGGGGGAATCCCCCCGCCTCCCAGGAAAGCCAGGAGAAGCTGTGCAGCCCTTTTAAAAGGCGCGCGGCTTCTGCCGGTTTTGCGGGAGGTGGGGGAATCCCCCCGCCTCCCAGGAAAGCCAGGAGAAGCCGTGCAGCCCTTTTAAAAGGCGCGCGGCTTCTGCCGGTTTTGCGGGAGGTGGGGGAATCCCCCCGCCTCCCAGGAAAGCCAGGAAAGCCCTGTGCAGCCCCTCCGCCAAGGAGAGGCTGCACGGGGCTAAAGGGGAAGCCAAAACAGCGAGCGGGATCCATCCCGCTCGCTGCCTTGGCTTCCTCCATAGCTGCGCGCAACCCCTCTGCCAAGGAGAGGCTGCACGGGGCTATGGATTCTTTAGCCCCACGCAGCCTCTCCCGGGAGGGAGAGGCTGCACGGGGCTAGGGGAAGCCAAAACAGCGAGCGGGATCCATCCCGCTCGCTGCCTTGGCTTGATCCATAGCTGCACGCAACCCCTCCGGCAGGGAGAGGTTGTGTGCAGCCTGTACGCTGCTCTTTGGGGCTGCGGGGGGGAAAAGTTTTTTTTCTTGAATTCCCCCCTAAAAACTGGGTGCGCCCTATGGTCCGGTGCGCCCTATGGTGCGAAAAATACGGTAAGTCCTGGTGCTTCTTCAGCAATAATAATAATAATAATAATAATAATAATAAATTTTATTTATATCCCGCCCTCCCCAGCCGAAGCCGGGCTCAGGGCGGCTAACAACAGCAGTAGCTGGCCCTCAAGGCTGCCTTCCCCACCTCACCTTATTTCAAGCTGGCTTGTGTGTGCGGGAGAGACAGGGAAAATGCCGCCCCCTTTAAACCCTCACATCTCTTGTTTCTGGCACTAGAATTTTTGAGTGGGGTTATGCGCCAAACCTTTTGCAAACGCTGGCGTAAGACCCACGGGACACGGCTCATAGAAACGAAAGGAGGAAAACCAACGTTTCTGAGTGGGTAGCAAAGCAAGCTCTTCACGGAGCAAGATGCTTATTTCTTTCCATTGGAAATGACACCAAAGGGGTGTGTGGATGTGTGTGCATGCGTGCCCATTATAATTGTTTGCCCCTTTAAAAGCCACCCACTTTATATTTATAGACAGAGATGATAGATAGATGATAGATAGATAGATAGATAGATAGATAGATAGATAGATAGATAGATAGATAGATAGATAGATAGATAGATAGATAGATAGATAGATGATAGTAGATAGATGATAGATAGATAGATAGATAGATAGATAGATAGACAGACAGACAGACAGACAGACAGACAGACAGACAGACATATTGAACAGATGATAGGTATCCCAATTTTGGTGCGGTCTTCAGAGGCAGGGCTGGCCCACTCCACCCATGAGGGAAGGTGAGGTGACCGCCTCAGGCAGCCGAATCCTGAGGGGCAGCAGATCCAGCCTCTGAGGATTGCATCGCCCACAGCCACTCCAATACCATCTCCGCAGCAGCCTCTTGGCAAATAGGAGGCACTGCAGGTCTCCTTCCATCCTCGTTCCCAATGTAGATCTTTATTCTCCCATTGTTCCTGATGTAGTTCCTTGACCCTCACTTCTTCCCTGGTGGGGGGTGGTTTGTGTGCGTGCGTGTGTGCCATTTTCTGGTTAGCTTCAGGTGCCAAAATGTCTCAGGGCAACCCTGTTCAGAAGAGGCCATTGCTGGTCGAAGTCTTGGTTCATACCTGCCTCTTTTGCTTTTTTGCCCCACAGTACACTGTCTGGAATTTTCTTCCAAAGAATCTCTTTGAACAGTTCCGAAGAATTGCCAACTTTTACTTCCTTATCATTTTCCTTGTACAGGTAAGGCTGCTTTAGAAAAAGCAATGAAGGTGAGGGAGAATGTTGCTGGTGTGTGTGTGTGTGTTTAAGTACCAGTCATTGAAATGTTTCAATGCCATCCTGCTGAAATAAAGACTCTTATTTTCAAGGCATAAGTTAGTGGGTTCGTGTTTACAGAACACGACAACAATGGTGCCATTTGCTCCAGCCTAGAGACTATACATCATATAGCTGCTTCTCTTCAATGGTCAAAGATGCGTCATCCCCTCCCTCCTGCACACACAACAGCTTGTGATGAGGCCCCCCAAATACCTCCCTGTTACGTTGTCTAGATGCTACACAAATGCAGAAGTAAATTTCTGAGTGTGCATTTCTTTGTGGGCAGGCGAATAGCAACCACAGATGTGGGCTGTGTCCTTTTCACTTCTGCTTTCTGATTAAAGAGGCTAGAGCTGAATCAGGAGACTCTTTAAAAAAATAAAATCAAAAGCAAGCTGAAATTCTGCAGACCAGCCGTTTCAGGGAAGGAAAGTAGGGGAGTGGGTTCAGCTTCTGTTGATGTCAGATGGGTTTTCAGTGTTTCAGCGTTTTTTTAAAAAAAGGGCTCTTGATCTGCAGCACTGGGCACCAGCCACTGCTCTTGGGCAGCATATCTGCTGACGTATATTAAAAGCACTCACTATTGTAGACGGAGGAGAGCATCTTGGCCCATTCCTCATAAGCCTGAACCTTCCTCAGACTTTGCTAAATGGAGTGTGTTGAATTCGCCACTGCTGCTGCCTGCCGTTTCCTGACGATTGCATCTTGCCTGCTTTGAAGACAGAGTGCTTTGCCAATTTGCATCTCATCCTTGTGTCAGGGGCAGAGGCATTAATGATCTCTGAGGAAGTAGCTCCAGCTAATTTACATGACAATGCTAAGATGGCATCGCCCCATCTTCCAGATAACTGTAGAATCCTGATCTGAGCAGTCGGGGCTGGTTGTGAAATGTATAACCTTGCTTATGCACCAGGCTAACCGGCTGCCACTTCCACTTCCTTGGGCGGTGTGGTTCAGCTTGCCAGGAGCAACAAATTCAACAGGAATCTCCCCAGTGCGCGTGGGGCTTTAACTTGGAACAGGTTGGAACAAAGGCTATATTTAACTTGAAACAAATCAAAATAGCGCCACTAGGGACGGATGCGGTTTTCTCTCTCAGTTCCAGTGCTGTGCAGTTTTGGAAGAAATATCCCCATGTTTCAGTGAATTGCATACAGCTGATTTTTGCCCAGAGTTGACCCGCGTTGGTCAATATCAGCGGGTCTACTCTGAGTAAAAGTTACTTGAAAACTTGGCCATGGAGAGGTGTGTGTGAATTATCACACTGTGATAAAAAAAAACAAAAAACCCAGCTGTCTTCTGAAGCAGAACACCCCCATGAAAAATCTCATGGCTACCTATTTGTACCAAACCTCCCCTTGCCCACCCCAGTTAGCCATTACCATAGGAAAGAAATTAATGTTATATTCAAATGTTTGGCATCGCATTACAAAAGCATTGCTCTTGTGCCAGGCATTAGTAGAGCCTGGCAGTTAAAGGCATGGAACCCGTCAAATCCACCTACCCACCAATGTGTGTGTTCATTGTTCCACAAGAGGCTTTTTCTTGTGAAGACTGTGCAGCTTTAAACACATGCCATAATAAATCCATTACGGTGCGGTCTCACACATGTTTACTGTGAAGTATGCCCCGCTTTCTTTAACGAGGCTTATTCCCAGGTAAGGGTGTGTAGCTAGCAGCCTTAGTCTTTAAGGGTGCTGCAACATTTTTTTTAAAGTGTCTGTTTGTTGTAATAACATAGCTAACCCTCATAATTCAAACATAGTTGCGTCTGTCAATGGCTTCTGGCCACAGTAGCTATGCTCTGTCTCCACGGTCAGAAGCATAAATGTCTCTGAATATAATTTTCTGGAAGCCACGGGAGGGGAGAGGGCTCTTGTACTCAGGTCCTGCTTGCAGGTTTCCCAGGGGCACCTGGTTGGCCTCCGAGAGAACAGGATGCTGGACTAGATGGGCCACCGACCTGATCCAGCGGGCTCTCCTTATATTCTTATCATTCCGAGTGCCAAATACTTTTAGCGCTGGAGTAGCTTGGACCACTGGAATAGCTGTTCTAGTGAACAGACTTCCTGGAGCATGAGCTGAGCTCTTGAGCAAATGTGCATGTGTGTGACAAACCTCCATTTACAGTGCAGTCTTAGCACATACTTGATATCAACTGCATATCTGTAGCAGAAGGCTTTGACAAGCTCAATCAGCCTTGGGTCCCCAGATGTTTCTGGGATAAGATTCCTGTCACTCTCAGGCAGTTTGAACAGGTATGATGCTGTTTGCAGCCCGACAACATCTGGAGAATCAAAACTGAAGAGTGTTGGCTTCGAAGAAATGAGTTCTTTACTACTACTACTACTAATAATAATACTAATAATAATACACACTTGGATTCACATGGCAGGACATATAATGGAAAAGGATGCATTCAGATGTCACTTTATTCTATTTGGACACCAAAGAGATCCCTTCACAAGCTCTTCATAGCAAGAAAGTGGGAATGAAGAATATACATGGGTGCTTTTCTTCTTATCTGGAAGACACCTCTGCCATTTGAATGAATGCAAAACTTTGCCAAATCATTCTCAAAACTTACTAGGCACTTGCTACCAGTGATTCACCACACGCTATAAAACAGAAGTCCGAATGCATTGTACAGAAAAAATTGCACATAAACAGATGCAGTTCATTAAAAAGCAATGACATGCACACTCTGGTGTTTTCCTGTGTTTTCCATGTTGCAGCATCAGTTTACATTTGTTGCTTATAAAAGCTGAGGACATCAAATCAGCAAATATCCTTTTCTTTAATTCTCCCCCAATAACTTGCCTTTCCCCCTCTTCTGCAGGTCATAGTAGACACACCAACCAGCCCCGTCACGAGCGGACTTCCTCTATTCTTTGTTATTACCATTACAGCTATTAAACAGGTACTTCCGTTCTCCCCCTTCCCCCCAAAAAAAGTAAATGGAAAAAGAGGATTGTCAGCTTAGAGCTCTGCTAAATACCCGAGGAAAGGCTCTCCCTCACCTCTTTTTTCTTTGTTTCCCTTTCTCTTGTTCCTTGATTGTGATGACTTCTGCCCCCTGCTCCCTAATTTATCCCTTCAGGGTTATGAGGATTGGCTGCGGCACAGGGCTGACAAAGAAGTAAACAAAAGCACCGTCCTGGTGATCGAGGATGCAAAGCAAGTGAAGAAGGAGTGCGAAGGAATCAAGGTGTGGTATGAAAGAGGGGAGCAAGCTTTCGGGGCACTGGGAAGCTCCAGGGAGCCTGTAGCGAAAGGCGGGGGGTGGGGGTGAGTGCAGGGAGAGTTGTTATTAAAACCTTGAATTCGTGCTTGCTGATGGACTCCGGCTGGTCCCCACTGGCTGGTTGGGGTGGCTGGGAATGGGCTGAAGCACTTGTGTGTTTTGTAGCAAAGACAAGCGAGGTTTCTGCACGTTGGAAATGGTTTGGGGCCTTGCCTTTAACCACAGGGAGCCACAGGCAGCAAGGAGTTCTGTGCAGGCGAGTGAGCAAACTGGTGGAGGAGACAGATCTCTGCACCCCTCCTCTGCCATTCCACTTGGCAGAAGGCTTTTTCCTCTTCTGTAATGCAGCACGATTGCGACTTGTGTGAAGGCTACATTCTGGGGATGGAGGCAGGAATGTGTGTACCCTGCATGAGCTCCCCCCGCCCCCGCTCCCAGCACGACAGAGAGCTTTTAGATTTAGGTGCCTTCTTTGCTTCTTTGTTGTTGATTTATATCAATAAACCCTTTTCAGCTGAAGAGTGGTGGTGGGGGGTGATGCTCTAAATAAGTACATCTAAGCAAACATTTCTGCAGCACGTTGACATTTATTTGTTCTGGTCTTTAAGGTTGGGGACATAGTAGAAGTAAAGTCTGATGAAACCTTCCCATGCGACCTGATCTTCCTCGCATCAACTCACAAGGACGGGTGTTGTTATGTCACTACAGCTAGTTTGGATGGAGAATCAAATGTCAAGGTAACAGAATGGGTAAACAGCACATCTGACCTGCAGCTCTTTTATCTTCACTAAGCTTTGAAGCGGTAAATCTTGACTTTCCAAAGCTTTGACACGGCGCAGTCTCTAGGCTGCGAATCAAGAGTGACTGACTATGCGTACCTGTCACACAAAGGAAAGTGAAATGCATTCCCTTTCAGCCATGCTCTCTTCCCGACTTGCTAATTCTATATGACAGGATATTTTTGTGCTGGGGAGCGTATGGTCATGCGTGGCCCTCACAGAGCTACACCACAGTCCTTCTCTCATGAGCGGCAGGCTCCTATCTGGTCCACAGCTTACATGGGATTATAAGAGCGTGCCTTTTGGGTGAGACGAAAGGTTCAGCATCCTGTTTTCTGTGAGGGCAGATCCGGTGGCGTAGGAAGGTGGCTGCAGTCCACCCCCAGGTGTCATCACTCAGGGGGGAGTGACGCAGTCCACCCCCAGGTGTCATCACTCTCTTGGGGAGTGACGCAGTGGCTCGGGCCCCTGCAGGCTCCACACTGCCTGAAACGGCAACATGGGGCTTGTGGACTCCATGGAGGTTCTGCACAGCGTGCTCTGCCCTGGCTTACCCTGCCCCGGGGGCGGCTTGCCCTGTCCCTGGGTGCAGGGCATTTGTGCCGCCCCGGGCGCCCAAGCAGCTAGCTACGCCACTGGGCAGATCAAGCCACCACACCCCTTTTGGGGATTCAGCAGCGCCTTGTCTCTGAAGGTGGATTTCTCTAATAGCCACTGATGGAGCGCCTTCTCCATTCAATGCAAAGGTGGATAAACCATGGGATTCATGCAACCTTCACAGGTCTTCCATGCAGCCAGCCACAGATGCACGAGCCACCCACCACTGCCAAATTCACCACCCACCAGTGAATTTTGCTGTCTGGCAGGGGTGTGCCTAATGAACTGCTGCTTGATGGACTGAGGCAGGGGTCAGCAACCTTTTTCATCCGTGGGCCGGTTCACTGTCCCTCAGACCATGTGGGGGGCTGGACTATATTTTGAGGGGGGAAATGAACAAATAACCCAGAGATGCATTTTAAATAAAAGCACACATTCTACTCATGTAAAAGACACTGATTCCCTGACCGTCTGTGGGCCGGATTGAGAAGGCGATTGGGCCGCATCCGGCCCACGGGCCTTAGGTTGCCTACCCCTGCCGCTGAGGGGATCATGATTGCAATGGGAGTCATCCCTGAGCACCTTCCTCCAAATGTAAATTGCACTTCTCTTGGCCCACCCAGTTACTGTTATGCAGGCTGGGCAGAGTGAGATCTTTTGCCACTGGTGTGTGTTGGGAGCAGCTGCACTTCTCAGTCTCAGCAGGGAGACCTCTGGAAACTCGTGTGTGTGTGTGCGCGCACACATGCCCCAGCCGCACAATTGGCATGTGGCCCTCAAGCACCCATTCCCTGCAGCCTATTATGATATCACAAAAATATAAAATAAAACTGGAAATAGTTGGTGCCATTGTGAGCAAACATTTGCCCTGCAAAAAGGCAGAAATCAGTTAAATCAAAAGTCTGAAAGGCAGCCATGCTTCTGAATAGCAGTTCCTGGAAACCAAGGGCTGCTGAGCTCCCCTTCTGCTCCCTGGTCTTGCACAGAACAAGAACAGGATGCTAGACTAGATGGGCCATGGGCCTGATCCACCTGGCGCTTCTTGTGTTAAATGAGGGAAGGCTTAGGTTTATCCCTAGGTGAACAACTAATCAATTTTACTATCTGCCCATTTTTAATATTTGTACAAAATACCATTTTAAAAATACAATAGCACCTCTGTGTATGTTATACACTGTCTCGGCAATAGCTATTGAAACGCAGGTATATCTGTCGTTTCTGAAGGTTCGATATTTTGATCTTACTTCATATGCAATATGATTCATAACATGAAGTCTGGCTGATAATAGCAATAAGATCTCCCATCCTATGATTTACTGTTTCAAATTTCCTTTTGAAAGATAACAGAGCCTGGGACCATTATCCTATGGAAGATTGTCTGTCTGTCTGTCCGTCTGTCTTTCTCTCTCTCTCTCTCTCTCGTGCATGTACACACACACCCAGCCGTATGAACCATTTTCTGTACATTGCCAGATAAAATATCATTGAACTTTGGTGTACATGTGTGTGAGAGAGAGAGACATTATAACATAATAGAACACTGGTGGTTTTTTTGGTACATGGTTAAACTATGGCATACATGCTCATAGGAGGCAGTGATGGCCTTGGATGTCTTTAAAAGAGGATCAGACAAATTCACAGGCGATAGGGCTGCCAGTGGCCACTAGGCGCAATGGCTATGCTCTTTTCCCATGCTCGGTGTTCTTCTGAACACCGGTTGCTGGAAACCACAAAAGTGAGGAGTGCTCATGTCCTGCTTGCACGATTCCTGTTGTCATCTGATTGGCCACTCTAAGAACAGGATGCTGGACTGGAGTGGCCACTGGTGTGATCTAGCCAGCTCGTCGTCTTCTCATCCACTGTTACCGCAAGCAAGTCATGCTGATTCTCCCCTCACACACACACTCTTTTCCCCCTTCAACTTTCCTCCAAAGCATGTCCTGTATCTTGTTTTGCAAGAACAAGGTGCAACAGGATGTGCCTGAGAAGGAATGTACTTAAAATGTTTAATGAGCTTTTTCTATAAATCTTTGGCAAGGAAGCGCAAAGCCCAAGAGCTTAACCTCCAAGTTGTGAAAATGTCTGTGCTTTTAATGCCATTCATCATCTCCCACCGTTGATGCAATAGAGCTGTTTCTCATCCAGCTTGAAACGAGGAAAATTTAGAGATAACGAGCTAGGGAAGCATCTGGGTGAGTTTTGTTTATGAAGATGGATCACGGCAGTGTCTCCTGCTGACAGAAGTGATTTAAAACACCCGAGTAGTGTCTAGAAATAGAACCTCTTAAATGGAGAATTTTAAACCCTTTGTCTGCTTTCTAATTTAATCAAGAAGTATCTGCGTAGCCAGGGATGCCTAGAATAGCTCTCCCTCCTCCACTGACATTTAATTCTCTCACCCGATTACCTTTGAGAGATCCTAGGCCAGCACTCAGGGGAACAGGGAACACAGAACACCTGTTGAAGCACCTGCAGCTTTTCATGAAACCTGGAGAAGCTGGTGGATTGTTCTTCAACAGGTCTCTGGAATCAACCTATTAGGCCACCAATGGGAAACCTGTAGCTGTTGCTAGACTCCAGCTCCCATCATCCCTGCTCCATGGCCAATCACTGATGGGAGCCGGAGTCCAACAGCAGCTAAGAGGTCACAGGTTCCCCATCCCTGAATTAAGATTTTGTTCAGCGTGGAAAGCAAGTAAATGGCAGTGCATGAGTTATCAAGAGTAAGCTGCTCAACTGGAACTGCAGCCCCACAAGGAGGAGACAGGCATCTATTTCGCATAGGATCTATCTGTAAATTTCCAGCTTATTTCTATATTGTAGGAGCAAATAATTGGCTCAACGTGCATTTTAATTTAGTAGGTTTACTGAGTTGGTTAGTTACTGAAGCACTTGTGTCTTGCTTTATGCCAAAATGATTCTTGTGGTAGCTTGCAAATAGGTTCATTATTTTATATTTATAAAAGGTATTTATATACCACCTGTTCATAGAATATAGCATGGCAGTGCATAGCAATTATATACAGTAAAATATAAAAAAAATGGTTAAAATGACTGGCTAATTGAAGATTTTTTAAGCAGCTGCATAGACCTGTTGATGTAAAAATATCTCCAGGAAAGTCAAAAGTGAGGGTGCCTGCTGAGTCTGTGTTGGAAGAGCATTCCACAGCGTAAGACGGATGACGCTACATGCCCAATTTCTAGTGGGTGTCACGTCAAGCCTCTGTAACACAGGAAGCAACCAGCCGTGCTCCTCTGGATGATCTCACTGATCGAGCTGGGATAAAAGGCCTTTAAAAACCCAGCAATAAAATTACAGCTAACGCAGCAGTAGCGATAGTAATAATGAGCCTCTCGAAGATGGCTAAAACACAGATCAGCTAAAACCAATTCCTAGTAGCATTTCCAGCAATCAAAGCACCACGTGAGCTCTGTAGCTTGTTAGAATCGCCCACTGTGCAAAACGGTCTGTGTACTCTAGGGACAGTAAACAGCTGCTTAACTGATTTTGCATTTCCGTCTCCCTTCTAGACTCACTACACTGTGCAGGATACTGCCAAACTCCATACATACCAAGCCATAAATTGCCTTACTGCTACAATAGAATGTGAACAGCCTCAGCCAGACCTCTACAAGTAAGTTCTGAAACGCAACGTTTATTTCCTTGCCAATTTTTATTATTATTATTATTTTGAGGCATGCACCACCTTGTGTCTGTCTTGTCCCAGGACTGGGCTCATGAGTTGGGCTTTGAGGTGCATGGTAGGTTCTGCTTCAACTGTGTCAAAGCTTTCTGTTTGCTATTTTATTTGCATTAACCAGCTGCGAGCTGGATCTGCACCGTTTCCTGGGAGATCAGGCAGCCAGGATTGGAGATTAGGATCATACCTTGTTGGTCCATCTTGCTCACAGTTGTGTACACTGACAGGCAGCATCTCCCTGTTTTAAAACAGCATCTTGGTGGCCACCTGTCATGGATGCTTTAGGGGGTTGGACTAGATGATCCTTGGGTCCCACCCAACTTTAAGATTATGTTTCTATGATCTCTGCAGGGTTTCAAACAAAGATCTTTCCCAACCCTGCCTGAAGGTGCTAGGGACTGAACCTGGTACCTTCTGCATTCAGTTCAGTTGCTAAATGACCCTTCTCATGTGAGATTATCTCTTTTTGAGAATTCAATTCATTCCCAAATTTAGAGTTGTTGATCTCCTTTCCCCATATGAGAAAGTTGACTGTGCTTCATTATATTCTGAAATTGATCCTGGTCTAATTGCCCTTAGGCAAATGTCGAACAAGTCCCTTTCCATCCATTGGCCTGCCTCACCCAGTTGCCACTCCCCCCCCCTTTCTCATGCATGGGAGGGAGGGACCGACCCCTTTCCCTGGCCTGCTATTGATTCTCCTTCCCTTGTACTCTTCCCTCCTCCCAAATGTGTCATGTCTTTGAGCTCACAGCCTATAAACGGGTTAAAGGCAGACTCTGCCTTTTTAATCTTTTTCTGCAGCATCTAGCAAATGCAGGCGCTTGGTAGATGTGCGTTTAGCAAATGCTAGGGAGGATGGTGGGTTGGAGACTGACGAATAACTGCTTGTAAAATAAATGCCTCGAAACATGGTTCTCACAAATTTAGTCTCTGGTACTTCTGTGCCATATATATATATATCTCCATCCATCCATCCACCCATCCACCGTTCCTTCCTTATCCTTCTCGGTAGTGGCACCCACCCCATGGAACGCCTCCCACCAGATGTTAAGGAGATGAGTAATTATGTAACATTAGGAAACGTCCGAAGGCAGCCCTGTATAGGGAAGCTTTATAAGGTTTAATGTTTTGCTATATTTTTATATATGATGGGAGCTGCCCAGAGTGACTTATTGGTGAATAACTCGCTGGATTTGCATAGCACACAGTGTACAAATGTTTGGAACAGGGTGGGAGAACCTTAATCAGCCTGAGGGCTCCTTCCACCATGGTCCAGCTTCTGTGAGCTGTGTGGCCGTGATAGGTGGGGCCACAGGTAAAGTGGGTGGAGCGGCAAATGTGGCTTTCAACTTTCTACACTAAGTTACCTTCCTGACAGGCCAGCCGTTTCTACACACAAGCAGACCGCACAAACATCCCCTTCCTTATCACAGTTCCGGGCCACAAAACCTTTTTATTCTTCTTTTTATTACGCATATTGTCTTTTTATATTGTAATTCCACGTTGTGAACCATCCTGAGAACTAAGGAGGAAGGGTGGTATACTATTTTAATAAACAAACAAAAGTAAATAAAATCTCTGATGAGAAGCCAGGTGAGGGGTGTGGCCTGGAGAACGGTGGGGCCTTGGGAATGCCCCAAGGGCCGAAAAGGGAGGCTTGGAGGGCCACATTTGGGGCCCCCAGGGATGAGATTCCCCACCACTGCTTTGTGGAGCAGGTGTTTCTGAGAGCTCTGCAGTCCTTCCCCACCTTTGCTTTTCTCTCCCCACCTCTTTTGTTCATTGATAATTTGCGGCGGCTCTCCTACAAATTACCAGCAGGGCTTAATAAGCAACCTCTTGTGCCCATCTCTCATGGCAGGTTTGTGGGCCGAATTACCATCTACAAGGACGGTCAAGAGCCAGTAGCCAGGTTAGTCAGCTGTTTTGTTAGTTCATTATCCCTATGCTTTGTTTCGTAATTAATTAGCTGGCCTCTTGTCGCCTCCCTAAAGGCTATTGCTGACATCAGCAGCTTGATGTTTGACTGCTCTCTATCCCTTGCACTGATTTTTCACTTTCCCTGCCCATTAATGAAACCGTCTTAGTGGTGTTGTCTTGCTTCCCCCTTACCATTGCCATATTAGTTGATATTTTCAGAATGCATCTTCTCTCTCTCTCTCTCTCTCTCTCTCTCTCTCTCTCTCTCTCCCCTCCCTCTCCCTCTCCCTCTCCCTCTCCCCACCCTTCTTTCCTTTTGTAAGTGGCCTAATAGTCTGACTTCATTCTAGGGCACTGGGTCCCGAGAACCTGTTGCTGAAGGGAGCGACATTAAAAAACACTCCTAGGATCTATGGTAAGCAACTGTTTGACATTTTCCAGTTTATTTCAGCCATGCTTATTATTAGCATTGAATTTAAGACCTGCCCAGGGCACATTACAACAATTTGAAGTTAAAGGCCGTTAAAACATGTTACAGTCACGGGAATGGGCTGGGCATTGGAAACACACATCTCAGGTGCCATAGGTCAGGGTGAAGTGATGCGTCTTCAGCATTCACCGAAATCCTGTCTAGTGAAGGTGCCAGACACATCTCTATAGGGAGGGAATCCCAAGGTTTAGGGGCTGCCACCCCCAGGCGCTGTTTCTTGGGCCGTTACCACCACCAGGTGGAACAACCAAGAGGGACCCACCTGCTTATCTCAACGCCTGGGAGGACCCATTGGGAAGAAGGCTGAAATCTCAAATTTGTGTGGTGTTTATTTCCTGCCCCAAACAAAAGTTTTGGGCTGGGTTCCTATGCATATTTAATCACTAGTAACACACATTTTAAATTAGTGGGATTTACTTTTGACTTAAGGGCTCACTCAGGCAACCTTTTTAAATGGGCACTCATCTTGGTTTGAGAGGGACTTGGGTGGCGCTGTGGGTTAAACCACAGAGCCTAGGATTTGCCGATCAGCAGGTCGGCGTTTCGAATCCACACGGCGGGGTGAGCTCCCGTTGCTCGGTCCCTGCTCCTGCCAACCTAGCAGTTCGAAAGCACGTCAAAGTGCGAGTAGATAAATAGGTACCGCTCCAGCGGGAAGGTAAATGGCGTTTCCATGCATTGCTCTGGTGTGCCAGAAGCGGCTTAGTCATGCTGGCCACATGACCCGGAAGCTGCACGCCGGCTCCCTCGCCCAATAAAGCGAGATGAGCACCGCAACCCCAGAGTCGTCCGTGACTGGACCTAATGGTCAGGGGTCCCTTTACCTTTACCATCTTGGTTTGCTTGCACAAAGCATGCACAGTGGCTGGATGATGTCTGATCTTTATTCTGATTTGCTTGCAGGGTCTTACCCCATTTCTCAGTGCATTTAATGGGTTTTTCAGATCTTACCCCATTTCCCAGTGCTTTTCCCCATCACTTCCCTAAGCGCAAAGAGTGATTAAAAAAGAAAAGAAAAATTCTTAAGCAGATTTGTTGTGCCAGTGTGATAGAGCACTTTAATCTGCTTGAACTGGCCAAACCCAAATTTCTAGTTTGAATTCCTCTCCCAAAATAACTTGACAGTCAGGAGGCAACCACAAGGTTGTACTTCTTCTTCTATCCTGAGCTTAAGCTCATCAACTGTGACTTCATTTTCAGCGAAGTGAGAATGATTCTTCAATGCAGTATGAACTGTTTATTACATTTATTATGTCTCTGACTACCAGTTGCTGTGGAACATGAGTGAGCCCATGTACTTGCCTACATGGACGGGTCATTGTGAAACTTCCTTCCTAGGAAGGAGCAGGTAGGTGAATGTTTGCAGGGCATTTCACCGGTGGCTTTGATTTTTGTAGGAGTCGCAGTCTATACTGGAATGGAAACCAAAATGGCTTTGAACTACCAAGGAAAATCACAGAAGCGATCTGCAGTTGAAAAGTAGGTTACCTGGACATATTGTAAATCTCTTTTGAGTCAACTGTTGTTTAATTGGATTGTGTATATAGTACTTCAACTTTCTTCCTTTGTCTCAGACACACCCAGTGTTGGAAACAGAGATATGAAAGCTAGGAGCTAAGGCGCAACAATGGAATGTCTAGGCACACTTTTTTTAAAAAAACAAGAAAGCAATGCTGAAATTGAATGCACTTCAGCTGAAATACTATGTTAATTTTTCACATGGTCTAGTCTTTCCCCTGCGCACGCACCCCCCAATATTCTTATGAGAATCCTTTCTCCAGTCTTCAGAGAGTAGCTGGAAGTGGGGAGGCAGAAAAAAGCTCCTTCTTTCCTTCCAACAGTGGCAGTTTTAATCTCAAATCTTAGAGGCAGTATTTCTCCTAGAGCTCAGAAACTGCTCACGCTAATGAAATCCCCTGTTGCAAAATGCGCCTAGAAAAATGGGAGTTTCGAACATGGCACATGCTGAAGAAGAAAAGCCCAGCTTTGTGGTTGTGACACATTCCGTATTCGCCTGAATGCAATGTGCACCTTCATTTTCACAACGTAATTTGGCCAAAAAAGGCCAAATTAGATTCGAGTAAATATGGTATTTGTAAAATTGAGGAGGGATGGTAATCTACACCCCCCCACACCCTGTATAAGACATGCGCTGTGTGTGAAAGGGTAAGGTTGGACTGGACAAACATGTGCCATGTCACTCTCTGCATGCCTTCCAAATGTGTGGGAAGGTAGAAGAAATCCCTACCAGCAGAACAAGGCATTCTGGAGGTGGGAAAGGCTTTAGCCAGCCCAGGATTCATTGGATCCCGAACTGGATTGCTGATAATGCGGCAGTCATCCTGCCCCCACCTTGAATCTGGGGCCCCCAGGTGGTCTCACCTCTTTGTAAAGCCACAACACTTGTTTTCCTCCCTGGAATTTCTATAGAAATGGAGTGCCTCAGTGGCTGTGTTTAGGAGCTATTGTATCCATCAGCTGTTTCACAGCCCTGCCAGGCCTCCCTGTTTTGCACTCCACTCTGTTCTGGCCAAGCCATGCCCACCCGCAAATCACCTGACATCATGTATGACCATATGTATGTAACGACGACAACACAGGGCCCGGATTGGCTTCTCGCCCCAGTCAGGTTTAAACTTCAAATGTTAAATAATTCTTTTTTGTCCTTTAAAATTGTAAACTGCCTTGGGTTCTTTGCCAGAAAGGCAGCATATAAATGCATTAAATAAATAAACGATTGAATCACATGTGGGCAGGTTGGCAGGAGGCTGGGCTGGGCTGAACCAAAAGTGTCTTCTGCAGCACAGGTGATCAGCTGATCAGCAGGACTTCAGAGCACTATGCATGGGTCTCTCCACGGTGCTTTGAGGTCCTGCCTGGCCGTCATGAATGCTTCAGCTGAGAATCATGCATTGCAGGGGGCTGGGGTCCCTTCCAACTCTGCAGTTCTATGATTCTATGACTGTAAGTGCTTCAAAGCGTCATGTTGCTTAACTGATGTGCGGGCAGCCGTACCTACCCGTCAGCTTTGGCATGGGGGTTAGGGGAGTTCCTGTTCCCCACCCCTGCTAAGGTTTACATCAACATTTTGGATTAAGACCAGAAATAAATAGGTATTCAGTGCAGTACCTCCCGCGCGCCCCAATATTCTCTGCCATCTGTCTCAAGGTAGCAGTCTGGCCAGTGCATCTTCTGTCAGTTGCATGTCTCAAACACTCTTCAAAAGAGAGCCTCACATATGCATGAGCGTAATGTGGTTTAATTCAAGTGAGGGGTCTAATTCCGGTGCAATTCTCTTGAAACAAGGCTGGATGGCTTCAAAACCTTGAAGTGTATTGTACCCTTATAAGTCTTGGAATTGTTTCTTTCAGGTCTCTATCAGCGTAGAGTTTTTCCACTGCTTGCGTAATACTATAAACCACTGTGATTCTTTTTTAACACTTTGCCTTTCCAGATCGATCAACATGTTCTTGATCGTTTATTTATTCATTCTTGTGGGCAAGGCTATTATATGCACAACTCTGAAGTACGTCTGGCAAAGTGTTCCATTTCACGACGAGCCTTGGTACAACCAGAGAACCCAAAAGGACAAAGAAGCCTTCAAGGTAACTGGGCTTGCTTCAGCTTTGATTGCCACCGCCTCTGTATTTGTTAGCGTTTGCCCTTGTGTACTTTTTAAAACAACAGTCAATCTTTCTGTTCTCTCTAGCTCTTAAAAATGTTCACCGATTTCCTGTCCTTCATGGTTCTCTTCAATTTCATCATCCCTGTCTCCATGTACGTGACAGTCGAGATGCAGAAATTCCTGGGCTCCTTCTTCATTTCATGGGACAAAGAGATGTATGATGTGAGCTGCAATGAAGGAGCCTTAGTGAACACCTCTGACCTCAATGAAGAGCTGGGCCAGGTCAGAAGCATCTCATTTCCTTTTTCTCACCTTTCCCTCCTCCCCACTGCAGTTAGTCTCTTACAATCTGTTGGTCCAAGTTAAAATGATACAACTACCGCTGTATTGAATTTTGGTGAGAACTGACCTGAAGCGTCAGCAGTGACATGGGTTTTCCAGAAAAATCCAAACTGGAAAATTTCCCCAAGGTAAAATTGGACTAATTTTTAAATGCTAATCAGAGTAATTTGCTTGGGAAGTTTTCAGATTGCATTGGAGAAGCTGCCGATGCCATGGAGAGTGAGTGATCTGCTTCAGCAAGTTAATTGTCCTTGTTATTTATAAGTAATGCTAAAAACTCACACTGTGCTAAGCTTGACTAATACTGAATCTGCAGTCGGCATCCATTCATTCTTCCAAATGTCCTTGTGGAACAACAGATTTTCTGCAGAAAAATTAAGTACCAATTCTCCCCCAGCCCACAACACTGTGTGTAGATCGGAACATAATAATCCTTCAGAGCTCACATTTTTTTTCACTAAAGTTCTGGACTCAAAAAAGAACTGACTGCTTAACCCTGACAACTCAGTCCTGTTTGGAAGTAAGTCTTTCTGAATTCATTGAGGCTTACTCGTACGGTTAGGGTTGTAGCCCAAATCAATTTAGAATTGCTTCCAAGTTCCAAAATACTGAGAGCTCAAGATTTGACCCTCAATCCAAGTAGAAGATCACCTTTACTTTGATATTCCATTAGCATTCTCTTCTCAGTTAGATCCTGTTTATTTCTGCCCTCCCTAATGAGAACAATGCAGCTATAGAAAAGCATATTGCAACTATCAAAACAAAAGAAAGCACGGCTTGGTTGTGAAACAAGCAGAGCAAACATGTCAGGGAGAAGATAGTAGATTTCCTGCCAGTGCGGTGGCTCTAAAAGGCCGTTTAGCCAGCCAAGACGTAATCATCTGGCCTTAACAGAACCTGAAACTTCTAGGTTCTCGTGTTCCTTTCAACACAGGATTTCTTTTTAGAGTATTTAAATATGTATTAGCGCTAAAGATTGATTCTTTGGGCCCCTGAGTGCTGGATGCTATAATTAGCCTCACTAAGCAGGATTTGCATGCTTGTTACCATGCAGGGAAATGTCAGGCTCCCAATCCCATGCTGTGCACATGTCAGCTGATCCTCCTAGTCGTGCTGCTTTTAATTTTTAAAATCGCTTCTTCTCCTTTTGCAGCGGGACTGTTTTTCTTGCAAATAGAAACTTGGTTTGACTTTTTTGTTTTTCCCTTTTTTTGGGCAGCTGGGCTTCACTGCTTGCTCCTGTGTAAGGCATGGCTCAGCAGCTAGAAGATCTCAGCCAAATTCTCCCTCCTAAGGGCCTGTCTTCTCCCATCTGGGGAGGCAGTGGGTTCTCTGTGAGGTGGACTTGCCAGTAGGCCACTTTGCGGGATGGAGCCTTGGTTCTCCACCCTTTGCTTCAGGGATGGGAAACTTGTGTCCCTCCAGACTGCAGGGCTCCCACAGTTTTCGGCCTCAGCCAACACAGCCAGTGATCAGTGCTGATGGAAGTTGTAGCTCATCTCTGCTTTTCTTCCGTTTTCCAAGAAAATTAGCTTCTGGCCAGGAACGTGAAAACAACCAACTTGCTTGCTCACCTGGACAGTGAGACGAAACTAGATCATCACGGCAGGGGGGAGGGGTACCAGGGTATATCTGTCCTTGAAGAATGAGTAGGATAAAAATGAAAACAGTGTAAAGAACCAGAGGCCATTGCTGCAGGAAATGTGAGGCATAAATCAGAATGTAACAGGCATGTTTTAATTTTAGCATTCAAGCCACTTCCTAAAGCGTTTTATGTCTTAACACATATATAAAAGTGAAGTGGGCCTCCTTTTCCTATAGATGCCACCGGTGGGGGAAAGAGCAAAGGGTTTTGTTTCTCGTTAACTGGGAACCATTTCTCTTTTTCTTTTAGGTTGAGTATGTGTTTTCTGATAAAACGGGGACTTTAACAGAAAACACAATGGAGTTCATTGAGTGCAGCATTGACGGCTACAAGTATGGCGATTCCATTACAGAGGTTGATGGATTGAAGGGTCATGGAAAAGCAGACAAGGTAAGCATCCAGTGCAGGGCAGCCCAACTTCCTGTACCAAGAGGGCTGCAAGAGTACTTAGACAAGCTTTTTGAGGTATTGTATGTGCGGGCTGCACACTGTCTTGTTGTGGGGGGGGGGGGTGGAGCAGGACTAAAATTTGACTGCTGTTGCACTGGAAGCTGCTGGCCCTGTGATGATGTCTCCATGTTTCTTCCTTGTATCCCTGGAACAGGAAGCCTGCTTGCTAACGTTCTCGTTTCCTTTTGTTACATCCCTTCCCCAGAACCGTGAAGAGCTCTTCCTTCGTGCTTTGTGTCTCTGCCACACAGTTCAGGTCCAGCAGAAAGATGAAATGGATTCAGGGGGGTCGCAGACAGGCAGCACGAGCAAGTATGTTGCCGCTTCCCCAGACGAGATTGCTTTGCTGCAAGGAGCTCAAAAGTAAGGATGGCTTCGGAGGCAAGGCCACTCTCTTCCCAGTACATCTATCTTCCCACTCAGTTATACTGAACGGTACACATATGTTCCTCGTGAGGCCATTATGCTCACAGGTGGACACTCTCCATTTTTGGGTACTGAGAGTGGTAAAGAAAATATTGCTGAAACTGCCTGGTGAAATTTGGCTTAAAGGTGTTTGCGGTTGTTGGGGGGTCTGGCTGTAGGTTTCCGTGACTTAGGCCATGCTTTGGAATTCCCTTGATGCATGGGCAGTGCTAGGAGCCACCGTGGCTGGGCACCTGCTGAAGCTCAGAACTGCAGGGACAGGAGGAAGTCCTGCCATTTTGGTACCCACTGGTCTGGTCCTGTCAGAGTTATTGTGCATACTCTCTCTGTCAAGACCAGTCTGAGGCACGTCTCAGAATCCCCAGACTTCCCTAGTATCCCCAGGTGTTTCCTTGGCCCATTTCCCTCCTGCCTTAATGGTGGAAAGCATCAATAAGCGTCAGCCACAATAGCTGTTGTCATGTAGTCATGGATGATGGGAGCTGTAATTCAACAACATCTGGAGGGTAACAGAAGAGGAAGGATTATTTTGACCAAGATGTGTCCTTTGCCTGCAGGCATTTGATCTGTTTGTTTGAGGATTATTTTGTGGTTTACCCCCTTCTTTTTAAATTGTATTTTATCTGCTGCATCTGTCAGGTCTTTTAATTTTTTGTTTTTGTTTTCAATTGCTTGGGACAACTCTAATTGGATTTTGTGGTTTATTAAAATTGTTGTAAGCCAACGGATGCAAATAGGACCATAGGGTTGCAACCCGCAAAGACATACCCTTTGAAACCCATGCTCATCAATTCCAGCTGGTCTGCTTTGTGCGGGACTAACACTGGATATACAATCCCTAACCATCTAGCTCAGTGTTGTTTACACTGACTGGCAGCAGCAGCAGCTCTGTGATTTCAGGCATGGCATATTTCTTGGCTCTCCCTGGAGATGCCTGGGACTTTCTGCATTCAAAACAGGTGCCCTACCACTTTGCTGTGGCCCCTCTGGTGAAAAGGTGGGATGGAAGTATTTATAACAAGTCGTTAAAATGAAGAAGCTGCATCAGGAAGGTGAATCACTTGGAAGTGAGTCTTTGCCGCCTACTCAGACAGGTGTGGGCGTGATTGTAGAGGCAGTGGCATGCATCTGGAGAAGATGCTTGTAAAGCAGATGGGGGGGGGTTCTTAATCTTTCTACTGGGGGATAGCCAACTTCTTCTCTCCCTTGGCCATGACATTGCACCTGTCCTCTGCGCATTTTGGAGCTGAGCAGCTCAGGTCACTTCACCTGTTAGGCACCCTTTTCTCTGAAACCAAGGCCATTTCAGAATCTCCTGGGGCCAGGCAGCTGGGAAGTCAACTGACAACTTCCAAAATTAGGGTGGGACCGTGTAAAAAATTGGGCTTGGTGCTGGCTGCAGCCCACCTGTTGCCCATCCTGGCCTAAACGTAGGTTGCTGGGTGGTCACTCTTTTTAACAGCAGTCACTCTTGTCTCATCAGTGGAGGAACATTCCAACAACTGGACTTGGTCCTTTACCTCTTGCTGAAAAAGAGTGTCCCTCCCCCCCCCTTTTTTTTTTTTGCTTGCTTGCTTGTTTGTTTTAAGTTGCATTTGATGCTTCTAAGGTCAGCGCAGGCTGAACCAGAGTCCTTCAACCTTTTCCCCTGTGTTGCAACTGTGGCCAAAAATAAAAATAAATAAATCAAAGTTTAGATCATTCTGTACAGCAGAGATAAATTCTTTAAAAGTCCTTTGGTCGTTTTGTTTTGCAAAGCAGCTGAAACAGGGGCAACAGCAAAATGGAACACATTAATGGACAAAAAATAAACGAGCTGCTTGCCAAGAGAGCAATGGGGGGGGGTGCAGTCATATTGTCCATAAGTTAAAAACAAGCAAAACAGAAGAAATGTGCAGAGCAATCTCTGAACACGCTCTGCCCCCCACAAACCACATACAAGGATCAGAAGTTGCTGTATTCCATTGCTTAAACACGCTCACACAGACACGTCTATGGGCGATTGGAAGTCCTTCACCCCCCACAAACTCAGTCCTACATCTTGCGTACATTTTGTTTATTTCTAAAAATATTTATAGACAGCCACCTCACATAAAATGCCAGTGTGCAAGTGTACAACAAGTTCAGAAAATAAAAACAACACAGGACAATTGTAAAAAAATAAATAAATAGGCCTGTTGGCATGAACTGGTCTTCAAGAATCACCTGCAAATTAGCAAAGGATTGCCTGCCAGAAGGCTGTTTCGCAGCATCTAACCTGTGATGCTAAATGTCCAGCCTGGTTTCTGAAACATGAGAAGCAATTCAGATTGAGCAAATGTGCCTGATTCTGACGCTTCTTGTTGAACTACGAAGGGGGCAAGGAATGCTGAAGAATATGACACCCCTTTCACCAGACTTTGGAAAGCTTAGTCACTTCTCTGAGATTTCATCAGATAATGTATTTTCATCCATGAAAACTAGAAACTTTTTAACAACAACGACAAAAAAAAGCAAACCTGAGACTTTCTGAGGAAGTTGAGCTCTGTGTCCAGCACTATTTGTGCGGGTTTCCTACGTTTCCAAGGAACTGCTCCCACAACTGCTGCCTATATTGCCTTATCAAGCAGAGTTTTCTCCACGTGGCTTTTATTTCATTTTAATTTCTGTCAGTTTTTTGTTTCTTTTTAAATCTGAAGTGCGTGTGTGTTGGTTTTTTTTTTTCAACGCCATTCTGTCCTTTTTGTTCATTGACAGGTATGGTTTCACTTTTCTAGGACAAGAAAATAACTTCATGAATGTACAGAACCGAAAAAAGGAAATCGAAAGGTAGGCGCGACCGCGGCTAGGCCTCCCGATATCACGCAAGGCAGCTGAAGCCTGGTTAGGGAAACCCTAATACTGGGCGGTGGTGATGGAAATGATTGGCTCATTTCGAGGCATGGTTTTTTATAAAAAAAAATCACTCGCCTGCCTTGAATCTAGCGCCTGGTTCCCATTGCTGTTTTCCCACATTTCTGCTTCTGTTGAGCCATCGGGGCTGTGACAGATAACTGTTAGAGCAGTACAGAAATCAGCAGGTGTACCTGAGCTGCATCCCCCTTCCTCTTTTTTATATCGCTTAATTGAGGTGGGGCAGCTCCAGCCTTGTGTTTTGCAAGTGTTCTCTGTGATCCTTGCCTGACGCTGCTGGCTCCACATTAGAATTCCAGAAGTACCAGCATCTTTTAAAACCCATCATTAATGTACTCAAAACAGTTTTCTCTTTTTTGGGAGGGTGGGGGAGGCATCCTTAAGTGGGCTAAGGCTATTAAAGGAGCTGAAGGACAAGGGTTGGCTGGCTGCATGGCCAACAGTTGCTCCTCCCCCTGCTTTTAGACATGCCCCCTTTCTTCCCAGAGGGCAGATAAGCATCCCTTAGGAGGGTGGATTTGACTTAGACACCCCTTTTCATTTACACAAGTTACAACCCCTAAATACCTTCATAATAGATATAGAGTGTTTGTTATCCTTTCCAGAGCAGCGGCTAACTGAAGCTTATGCAGGGTTCTTGTTTGATTCACTTGTGTAGGGTTTGAGTGTAATAAGTGGTTTGAGTTTCCCAGCCACCTTCCAAGACCCTAAATGCTCTTTGTCCTTCTTGCCTCAAAAGGTACGAACTGCTGAATGTTCTAGATTTTGATTGTGTCCGTCGCCGAATGAGTGTTCTCGTGAAATCGCACGATGGTGAGTTGAAGCTCTTTTCTTGAAACCATTTCATATTCTAAAGGAGGCTGGATTTGAAGGTCTGCATCTATACATTTGAAAGTTCCATTAGTAGCTCTCTTTTTGACTATGCATTTTGGGGAGAAGGCTGGTAAGTGTAAAGTTTGATTGTGTATTGTTTCTACTGCATTTTGTTGACCTTGTTGGTGAATTTCGGTCAATCTGGCCTGTAGTTTCGTCAATTTACTGAGTATGTTTATTTGTTTTTTTATCTGGTAGCTTGGTAAAGTTACTCAGCAGATCTTCTTCTTCTGGGACTGTCCAGTCTATTGTGTCAAGGACGAGGCTGTTATTTGATGCTACAGTCGCATGGTTTGGGAGCTTGGATTTTTCTTGCGTGATTTCCCGGGTAGCTGGCTGCGGTTTCTCCCATCTACTGGGTTCTTCCACGGGAGTAGGGCAGATGTCGGCTTCTGGTGGAATGGCCTTGTTCATCTTATTTTGTCTTTTAGATGCAATCAATGGTCTGAGTGATATATCTTCAAAGTGTCGACGCGGAATAATTCCTTTCTGGGCTAAATGAGCCTTTTCCCTTAAGATTTTGGTTGGAATTCTATGACTACCAAATCTTAGTAGTACTTTTTTGGAGTATCCATCGTTAGTGAGCCTCTTGACTGCTTTTAAGTCAATACTTCCACCCTCAAGGCCTAGGAGCAGATTTAGATGATGTCTGGCCCAGAAGGATGACTCCCAGTAAGGTAGGGGCCCTCTATATGGAAAAATGTGGAGAACAATCTCACATGGCCTCAATATCAGGTTGAGTGAGTGAGGGGGGCTTCTTCTGGCTTTTGGCTGGTTTAGAGGTATAAATTTGTATTTGTTCTGTTTATCTCCAGGGCTTGTTAAGGATGGCAAAAAGGGAGTGAGTTGCCTCCTTTCATCTGGGTTATCCAGCTTCTTGGAGATGTTTTGTAATTGTTCAAAGATTTTTTGAACTGTTTGAGCAGTCAATAGGCAGCATTCCTCCAGCAGCTCCACCTTTCTACCAATTAGTACTTGTGCCTCGATTATGGGAGTAGTAGCCTTGTCCTCATTTATCCCTAGGGGTATCTCTTCAACTGTCTTTCCATGTAAAGAGTTGGGGAAAGTTTTGGGAGGAAATATGTGCTGTTTTTGAGGTAGCAGGTAATTATCTAGATTACTCTGTTTGAAGCCAGAGGGCTCTGCGTCAGTTTCTATATCAGGACACCTGAGTCTTTTGGCTCTTCTCATTGCTATATTCTTCTTAAATCAATGAGATCAGACTTCTAAATAGAGTGATAAAGTGCTAAAGTTTTCAGGTCGCAATCTCATTCAATTCTCATTCAGTCCTGGCTGGGCTGCTGCGAGGAGTTTTAAAACTGGGTCCAATTAGAGCACTCCTTTAAAGTATCCCCCCCCCTTCTTCTCAGTTTGTTAAAACAACTGGGATGTTTGGGGGTCCACGAAGTTTGAGGTGGTGGGAGAAATTTGTGGTTTTATGAATTTGTAGTTTTTAGGGTTAAAAGCCCACTAGAAGTCCTTAAAGATCCTTGGAGTAAGTTTGTCACGAAGCGTCAACGAGAAACTGGGAGGGAGTGCCTTAATGCCCGGGAGGGAATGTCTGAGAGCCTTCGTTAAAACTTCATTAACTTCATTAAGTCCCGGCACCGAGGAGGATAAAATAAGATGTTCAAAAGCACAGCGAAGTAGTGAAAGGAAATAAAATCCAAAGGAAGGAGGAGAGCCAGCAACAAAGGCATTTAGTTAAAAGATTTCTTTGAGCTCCGATAAGAGCGTCTTACCTCGGCGCCATCTTTTCAGTCATTCTGAAGCTCTTTTCTCTCTTCACCATAAAATTTATTATTTTGGCTTTTCCAGCAGCGGCCTGTTAGTTTAACTTCTTCACTGCTTTAAATAATAATCAATCTATTTTCTTTTTCAAATAGTTTTTATTAAAGTTTTCAAATACACATTTCCACCATTAAATATCCACCATTATAATAATACATTCATTGACTTCCCTGCTTCCTCTTCCATGGGTCTTTTAATTTTCTCATAATTAATGCATATTCTGTTAAAATCATTTAATCCCCCAATCGTATTTCCTCATTCTACATTACATTGTAGAATTTACCTTAATCCTGTTAGCATTTTCACTTGTTTACTGTTATTTTTCATATATTCCACAAAAAAAATCCACTCCCCTTTATAGACTCGATCTTCTTGTTCTCTTATTTTACTGGTTAGGCCTGCTAACTCTGCATATTCTATCATTTTAAGTTGCCATTCCTCCTTCTTAGAGACCTCTCTCACGCTCCATTTTGGGGCTAACAAAGTCCAAGCTGCTGTAGTTGCATACATAAATAATTTTTTTCTGACTCATGGGTACCTCCATCTAAACTATTCCCAAAAGGAATGCTTCTGGTTTTGGGGGAATGTTTTTTTAAAACTTGTTTTCATCTCATAGTATATCATTTCCCAATAATCTTTAACTATTTTGCACGACCACCACATATGAAAAAAATGTGGCTACTTCTTTACATTCCCAACACAAGTCAGATTAAGATTTATACATCTTGGCTAATCTACTCAGGGTTAAATACCCTCTATGTATCATTTTATATGGTTTTCTTTCAATGTGTAGCATGAAGATCTTTCTTCCATAATTACTCCCAGAGATCAAATTCTGTGTTATGCCCTAGATCTCTCGTCCTACGAATTACTGATTATTTTACCCACTCATCCTTTTTCAAACTCTGTTTCTAGGAAGCATATACCTGTTCTGCAAGGGAGCAGACTCTGCAATTTTCCCCAGGGTCCCAGAAGCTGACGTCCAAAAAACAAGGATACATGTGGAACGCAATGCAATGGTAAGAACGCCGACTTTGACTGATGAGTTGTTTTGTTTTGTTCATAGAGAGAATGCATAGTCCAGAATCTTGGCGTTTGGAAAATCAAATGCCGTTAAGCTTTGCCCAGATTGGCTGTTGATTTTTAACAGGGACCATGTTTGGACTAAGGGTGGCGCTGTGGGTAAAAGCCTCAGCGCCTAGGGCTTGCCGATCGTCAGGTTGGCGGTTCGAATCCCCGCGGCGGGGTGCGCTCCTGTTGCTCGGTCCCAGCGCCTGCCAACCTAGCAGTTCGAAAGCACCCCCGGGTGCAAGTAGATAAATAGGGACCGCTTACTGGCGGGAAGGTAAATGGCGCTTTCGTGTGCTGCGCTGGCTCGCCAGATGCAGCTTTGTCACGCTGGCCACGTGACCTGGAAGTGTCTCCGGACAGCGCTGGCCCCTGGCCTCTTAAGTGAGATGGGCGCACAACCCCAGAGTCTGTCAAGACTGGCCCGTACGGGCAGGGGTACCTTTACCTTTACCTTTATGTTTGGACTAAAGTCCCAAAGGCTGATGGCAGTGGCTCTTTCCACCAGCTCACCCTTTCAGGATCACCTTTACTGCTGACTCTCCAGGATAAATAGTGCAGAACTTGCAAGATAATAGCAATGGCCACCAACCTGGATGGCTTTAAGAGAGGGTTAGAGAAATTCATGGACAGAAAGGTTTTCAACAACTGGTAGCCAGGCTGGCTATGTTTTCCCTCCACTGCTAGAGGCAGTATGCAGTTGGATAACAGTTTTTGGGGAATCTGAGGAGGAGAGAGCACAGTTGTCCCCAGGTCCCACTTGTGGGCTTCCCAAAGCCATTTGGTTGGCTGCTTCTGCATTTTGTGATAGCGAATCCATTAGTACTAATGACATGAATCCTATTTGCATCACAGTTGCTGTTCCCTTGGAGAAGGGGTGCTGTCTCCAAAAGCCTTGCATCTTGGCTTGTGTGGTAGAAAACAACTGATGACTAAGGGTGATGTTAATTTGTAAAGGGGCGGGATTGGGCTCCCAATTGCCTATTCCTAATCAAATGTTTTAATGGGTTTCATACTGGTGGCCCCAACCTTAAACTTTTTAAATTTTGTGCTGTTAAATGGGAGCCCCCAGCTTCAGTACAGTGGTACCTCTGGAAGCGAATAGGATCCGTTCTAGAGCCCCGTTCACATCCTGAGCAGAACGCAACCCGTGTCTGCGCATGCACGGATCGTGATTCGCCACGTCTGTGCATGCTCGTGATGTCATTTTGAGCATCTGTGCATGCGCGAGCGGCGAAACCCGGAAGTAACCCATTCCGTTACTTCTGGGTTGCCACAGGACACAACCTGAAAGCATTCAACCCGAAGCTACTTTAACCTGAGGTATGACTGTATTCTGAACACTGGCTGGGGAGCAGTGGCAAGTAAGGCCTGTTGATGTAATGCCTTGTATCTGGCTGGCCACTGTGGGAAACGGGACGCTGGACTCTTTATTGGCCTTGCTTATTCTGTGGATAATAAACTTCTTTTCCATTGTGGAACACAAGCTGGTGTGCATGGGGTTCCCAGGTTGTCTCCTGAACCCAGGCACTGACTAGACCTGCATCTGCTCAGCTTCAGCAAGGTGGCTACCCCCCTCACCCACCTCATACTTTTAGACAAGGTCTTGGAACTCAGTGAATCTCTTGGTCTGATCCCACAAGACTCTTAGGTTTTTGAGCACCTGAAGGGTCACTCTACTTCTACCAACTACACTTAGCATCAGTGGATTTACTGCAAGGAATGCTCTAAGAATCATGGCCGTCAAACAACAAACCCAGCAATCTTTTTAAGGCAGCTTTGAGAGGCTACCTGTGACTACTGGCCTAGCAGGTTGAGTCTGGGGTTTTTTGCAGGTGCCTGCGAGCAACTGAACCCTGCTGTTCTAGAGGGAAGTTGGGTGGGAGACCTGAGGTTTAGAAAAATGCACTTCCTTGCTTGTTTTTTTAGGATGGGTATCGAACTCTCTGCGTGGCCTACAAAGAAATATCTCACTATGATTACCACATAATTGATACCCGGGTTAAGGAAGCGACGATGGCGCTACAGGACCGGGAAGCAAAGATGGCCCAGGTTTTCGACGATATTGAGAGGAACATGCATTTGATTGGGTCCACTGCTGTGGAAGACAAGTAAGTGTCCACAGGAAAAGAAACGTGACCTCCCGCAACTTGGAAAAGGAGATTGGGTGATGTTTTTGTCCCTGCCTTTCATTGCAAGATCCCAAGGCAGGCTACATATATATGGTTAAACGCCAAGGTAAAGAGTGCATCCATACAGCTCCACCACCAGATGTGCCTAGGCACATCCCCCTCCATGTGTGTTGGCCTCCTTTTACATTTTATGGGAGTGCATTGTGAACATGCACGACCCCGCTTCTTTCATGCGCTCACTGAATGTGGGGTGGCTGGCTCTCCTACATAGCCCTGTTGTGGTTCTGCCAACCAGTTTAGAATGCCAGCTAGCCAGAAGAGCACCTTGCTGAATATTATCACCAAATGCCATCGGTGGAAAAATAATGCCAGTGAGGAAGCTTGCCACAGGGCTTGAACTTAAGGGACCAGAGGGACACTGTAGCATGGAGGTGTCAGTGCACCAGTAGGCTTTGATCTCTGTTGCCTCTCTGAGCAACTTCAGAACCTGTTCTCCTCTTTCAGCTCTCCTCTGCCTTTTTCCTTCTCAGCCATACAGGGCCCAGCTGCTCTCCTGATAGCCTTATGTCAGATTTTTGTGGTGGCCTCAGGACTAAAGGGGTAGCAAATGTAGTTTGCATGCAGAAGGTCACAGGTTCAATCCCAGGAATCTCCGTTTGAAGTGATCAGGGAACAGGTGACAAGGAAGACGTTTCTGTGCCTGAGACCCCTGTAGAACTTCTGCTGGTCAGAGTAGGCAGTACTGAATTACATGGACCAACAGTCTAACCCTAAGGCAGTTCTTATATTCCTACTGCCTGCCTAGAAAGTAAGTAAAATCAGAAATCAGCCCCTGAACTGTTAGAACAGAAGGGAGAGTGAATTATTCTGGAAATTATACAGTTGTCTTTTCTTTTTTTGTAATAGTGGAATTGTTGACTGGAAAATGCCTTATCTTCTCTTTCTCATCCCCACCAGTTTTACTGGGTTCCAATTCATTAATTAATGGTTGTGAGGGTGTCATTATCTCTCTCCTGTATCCTTTTTTACCCATTACGAATTCTGGATCATTTAAAAAAAGAAAAGAAAATTGTAGAGGGGAAAGAACATTTTGGGACACCAGCTGTTTCGTTTGATAAGCGAAAGGTGTCTCTGCCCGTAGGCTCCAGGACTTTGCTGCTGAAACCATTGAGGCCATGCACACTGCGGGCATGAAGATCTGGGTGCTGACAGGGGACAAGCTGGAGACGGCTCAGGCCACCTGCTATGCCTGCAAACTCTTCCAGACCAACACGGAGTTGCTGCACCTGACGGCCAAAATCATGGAAGGGGAAGACCGGAAGGAGGACCGGCTGCACGAGCTGCTCGTGGATTATCACAAGAAGCTGGTGAGCGACGTGCCCCCAAATGCAAAGAGGTAAGTGTCAAACAGGCAGCTTCTAAGGGTCTGTGGACAGGCAGCCCTGAGATAACTTTGCAGCCAAAGAGGAGAGACTGGACTTTGTTCAGCCAAGGGCATTCTGTAGTCGATTATTTTCCAGAAGTGCTCTGGAACGCAACCAGTTTTAACCTTTAGCACTATTTGCTGGTGACTACAGATTAAGTTTCTTTTAAAGAGTGCCCAGACTTTGAAATAAAGTTCACTCCTGTTTGCCTCAAGGCTGGCCACCATGCCTCTGTTATCCCTCCTCTGTTGGAACCTGGCTGGCTGCTGTGAGAAATGGATGCTGGACTGGGTGGGCCACTGGCCTTGATCCATGAGGCTTGTCTTATGATGTTCTTTTCCCTGTATTGGTTCCTTCCTGATTTCCCTCACCCCACAACTTGCAACAATCACTGTTGGCAAGTTTGCTGCAGATGGAAATTGGGAGATCATACCAGGGCAAGTAGGCAGTAGCTTGATCCCATGTCCCTTGACCTTTCATTCCATGGATATTGTACTAGGATGCTCCTGTCTCAGAATCTTCTCCAAACCACTAGGACATGCACACAGAAATAAATCATGCAAATATTTAGTTGATCTGGCTGGTTTCTTCCAACTGTCTTTAACACCAGAGCGTTCTGCTAAGGGGTGGGTGATAGAGGACATGGGGGGGGGCGGCAGTGGGAAGCAAAGGGTGAGTTAGCAGGAATGTGACTGCAGAGGATTGCAGTAGGGAAGATGAAGAATGTCAACGGTACACTTTCAAATTCTGAACAGTTAAACAGGCTCAGCACAAAGTCTAGAGTCCATGGCAGTTCTTTTTCCAAAACTCTTCCAGCTACCAGATACCCAGTAAAAAAACTAGGAGCCATTTGAGCAACAGCAGCTTAACAACTGTCCCCAGAGTAGCTTAGTTGAAGGGTTGCAACTCAGAGCTAGAGCATCAGATTTGCATTTGAAAGGTCCCATGTTTGATCCCTGCCATCTCCAGATAAGGGGGTGGGGGAACCAGCCTGAAACCCTGGAGGGAGCCCCTGCCACTCAGTATAGACAAGAGGCAGTTATGTCCACAGCAAAAAGCAAAAGTCCACATCCTTTTGTTCCATTATGTATGCAGTAGTGAAGACAGATAATGTAACCAAAGGCACACAGCTTCCTGTTTTAGCTGCTGTTAATTTTGGCTTTCTGATTATTTAGCTGTCTGTCTTGTAGTGCCTTGTGCCAAAGCAGCCGCTGCCCTTATCTTCTTCCAGGATCTATGTCAGGAGAGGTGTATTTAATTATTGCAAGGCTTGTTGTCTTCTGTTTTAGAAGCTGGACACTAAGTCACGAGTATGGACTGGTTATCGACGGTGCCACCCTGGCCCTGATACTTAACCCTTCCCAAGATTCACGTTCCGGCCACTACAAAAGCATCTTCCTCCAGATCTGCCTGAAGTGTACAGCAGTCTTATGTTGTCGGATGGCTCCCTTGCAGAAAGCGCAGGTGTGTGTGTGATGCAGGGCCTTTGACCAACAAGAGAACCACTGCGTTTTAACTGCTATGTTTACACACTACCCCGGCCTTTGGCACTGAGAGGAGTTTTGTGTTTTAGGACCCACCAGTTTGCAGTTTTTTTAAAAACTGCTTTCACTACTGAATTTCAGATTGCTGAAATGCATCTCTGACTTGCTGTTGAAGTGCATGATATGACATTCTGTCTTGCTCTTGTTATTTATTGGTTGCAAGCCGCTTTGGGATTCATTTGAATGAAAAGTGGCATCTAATAAACCAAATCAAAAGGTGATAAAGGTGAAGACAATGACGGGCAGGTAATAAATATTAACAGTAAAAGGGTTGTATGTTTGACGACGATTGATAATAAATTACCTCACCTGGATAACAAACAGGAGTTGTGGAAGTAAATTCTCACCAGGCAACTGACTTGTAGCACAGCAGGACCTTTTTTTTTTTTTTTTTGGTTGTGGCATCTTTTCCTGTTGGGTCTCAAGTCCAAATCCACACCCCCCCCCTTTTGCGCTACACTAAATGTAATGCTCGTGAGCAACACAAGAGAGGTTCATGGACTTTACTCCTTTTTCCTTCTCGGTCTGCCTTCATTGCTTCTCTTTTGCCCATTTAGATTGTCCGGATGGTTAAGTGTTCGAAGGGCAGCCCAATAACCCTGGCGGTGGGAGATGGGGCCAACGACGTCAGCATGATCTTGGAAGCTCATGTGGGCATAGGTGAGGCATATCTTGAAGTGCATAGCATTGGGCAACTATTTGGAGTATTCTTGTCTTGCAGGGTGAGTGGGGGAGAAATCTAAGAGTGTGGGGAGCATGATAGAAGTGTACGTATGGCAGGGGGGGGGGAGGAAGAGCAGCTGGGGTTTTTATACAGGACGTATTGGCCAGGGATCTCCTCACCCACCAATTCTTCCATCTCTGCTTCCAGGTATCAAAGGTAAAGAAGGCCGCCAAGCCGCCCGGAACAGTGACTACGCCATCCCAAAGTTTAAAGACTTGAAAAAATTGCTGTTGGCTCATGGGCATTTGTACTACGTGAGAATCTCACACCTTGTACAGTATTTCTTCTACAAGGTAATGGGCTTCATCTGCTTGGAGGGTGCATTTAGTCACTTCCCAATCATTGGTTAATCCCAAGATGGAACTGCTGGTGGGCTTCAGGGAAGGTGGAAATTCCGAAGCCCTGATCCTAGATGAGTGGCCTACGGCACTCATCCTGGCTTACGGATATGTCGGTTCTTCCTTGCCTCTTCTGTCCTTCAGCCACTCCTGGCTTTGCAGTCCATAGCTGAGCGATGGAGCAAGTGTTTCGCATGCTGGAAGCCCACAATTCAATCCCCAACCCCCCCCCCCCAGTTTAAACTATGAGCTAGCAGGTGATGAGGAAGGTCTCTGCTTGAGACCATTGAGAGCTACTGCCACCCAAAGTGGACAGTATTGGGCTAGGCTTGCAAACAGTTTGACCTGGTAGAAGACTGCTTCCTATGTCCTGTCTTACCATGGTTGTTGGTATGCATGCCGAGAGAGGAGGTGTGTGTTAGTGGGTTGGCAGTTGGCCAACAAAGACCTCTGTTTGTATTGCCATGGGTGGGTGCACAGGCTAGGGACATCTCAATCACTGCGCCATTGTGACAGAATTCCCTTCCAAGAGAGGCTGGCCATTTGGTCTTCCAGCGTACTGTAAATATATGACTCTTCTGTAGAGCATTCGTGGACAGGAAAATGGGCAGTAAGCATGTGATGCAGCGCATGCGCACACACACACACACACACACACACACCCCTCCCTGAAATAAATAAGGCTCTTCTGAATTTGTTGTTTTACGTTTGTGATTGTGATTTTTAAATTTGTTTTGTTGAGTTGTAGCCTTTAAAAGACTGCTGAGATCCAGGGGGTTGGACTAGATAACCCTCAGGATCTATAGGATCTGTTTCGGGAAGCTTTTAATGTTTGATGTATTATAGTATTTTAATATTCTTTTGGAAGCCGCCCAGAGTGGCTGGGGAGGCCCAGCCAGATGGGCGGGGTATAAATTATTATTATTATTATTATTATTATTATTATTATTATTATAGAAGACAAAACAGGTGGCACAAAAAAAGAAGCAGCTCGCTTTGTGATGCTGGGGGCAAGCTGCGCACTCTCAGTCTAACCTACATACGAGCCTGTCTCCCTCCCCACTCCAAGGATAAAATGGGATCACCCGCATATATGCCACCCTGTGCCTCCTGGGAGGGAGGGCAAAACACGTTGCTGCTCTTTTGAAGTGAGGATTTGGAGCAGAGCTTTTGTCAGCAAATCTGAAAAGGGCAAGAACGGTTTTGTGAGGATAGCTGTTTCTAATGTAGTGGGTCCCCAGTGCTCTCTGCTGTATAAATTAAAATAAATTAATAAAGTGCTTAGGTCTCCCGAGTAACATGGCTTTTGCTTTTCTGTTTCATTTTTAGAATCTTTGCTTCATTTTCCCACAATTTTTGTACCAGTTCTTCTGTGGCTTTTCACAACAGGTAGGTTGCTGCTATCGGTGATGACTTTGTGAGCCGAATCGCGACTCACAGTTTGGGCTGAAGTTCTAGGCCTGCTAATTTTTTATTATGGTGCTACCTCCTTTTCTGCGACCAGAATTCTCAGACTGCTTGTTTTTATCGAATTATATAAAGCTATTTTGTTCCTTTCAGTGCTTTCTAGAGAAAAATGCTCTTTCCTCCCACCTGTTCCATACGCACTGCCTAGACTTGTGCCCTGGAGGACAACTTAGGTGTTTCAGTTGCAGCAAAGACAGCACAGGAGGCACCTTTTACTCCAATTGGATTTCCAGATAGATGCAGATATATATATGGTGAAGGGATGAGTGACCTTCCATCCTACGCTAGGGCAGGAGTTGGGATAAAGGTCCAGTGGAAAGATGGCTGGCTCCCTTGTGTGTCTTCTCTTGTTCTGCTCTGTAAACCAGTCAGCTTTGGACCACCCTCTACCATTCTTCCACTCCTGCTTTTACTTCTTAATGCACCCCTTGCAAAATGCAGAAACATAGGCACTTGCCAATCGAGCTAACGACCTTCGCCAGGAACACTCCTGTGCTGGAGGTTTTTAAAGAAAGGACTTCGCAAGGGGCAGGGGCAGGCGGGGAGTTCCATTGTGCAAAAAAAGCCGTTGAAGCCATCTGGGTGTGCAGCTTTTTAAATTAATCAAAAGTGAAACTGTTTGGCAGCTGTCACCGTCATAGCAAGCAAGCGTCTGCAACTGCTGTCTAACGGTTTGGTTTCCTGCCCTTTGCACCTCAAGATGTTTTCCGTGGTACTCGAAACCCACTTCTAACCCCTGTTTGCGGAATTGCTGGCTCATCTCCAGAGGCTCACAAACTACCCGGTGTTCCTTGAAACCAGACTTTGGGATATATTGAATGAGTACAATGTCCAGTTTCTCAAGTGTTCCATTCAAGCACTGGTTTTGCCGTAACCAATTCTGCTAATGAGCTGAACCCCCCTCGCTTTGAATGCAGCTGTTCTCCATAAGCCTGCTTCCTTTGACTCTCCTCTTTTCTCCCTCTTTGGCTTGTGGTTACTCTCCCCCCCCCCCCCGGCAACAGTTCAATTTTGTGTTTGGTGTAGAAGTTCAGAGTGAGGTTATGCTTGAGTTTACAGTTCTACGAAGTGCAGGATTTGCCTTTGCATCCCATGTTCCTTCTGGCTGAGTAGGACTCAGCCCTCTTCTTGAACCTGTAACATTGCATTACGACTGTGATCTCTTGCAAACCAGAAGTCCAGAATGGCATGTTGACAGCCTAAAGCGAGCAGGAAGTGTGCCCCAAAACTGCATAAAAGCTTTCCCCACCACGATCAAGTGCAGTTTGCTAAACCTGAGGTTCAGTTGCCTCTTAAAGCTGTAGGGGAGGCTGCTGCAGCAGGCAGCCTCATGAGTATTTTGGAGAGGGCAGGAGCAAACAACGCTGCTGCTTTCTCCTCCTGACTCCCCTTCTCCCTTCCTTGTCTTTTTAAGCCTCTCTATGATGCTGCTTACCTTACCATGTTCAACATCTGCTTTACATCTATGCCAATCGTGGCCTACAGTCTGCTGGAGCAACACGTCCCTATTGACACTCTGGTGGCCTTCCCAAAACTATACCTGTAAGTAACCATCAGCGCTTTTTGTGTTTTATCTGCCTTTGGCTGCTGGTGACAGAAGTTGAGCTGGATTGTGGGCAGGGATTCAGCACTCCCTTCCCTCTGCTTGTAGCCTTAAGCAGCCAACTCCACTCCCAGGTGCAATGTTTTGATTTGCTTTTCTTTGTTTATGGCATTTATATCCCACTCTTTATCAGCAGTGACAGCAAGCCCTGCTGGAGTCAGCTGGGCTGCTGAGTCCCCCATGGGGAGAATTCCATAGTTCAGCCTCCCTCCCACTAAAGAAAGCAGGGCTTGACATCAGTTCTGCTCAGCTTGGGTCTCTGCCTGCTGTGCAGCTTTGGCTCAAACTGCACTATAAATGAAGAATTAGTTACCTGATATTATGGTCACCTCCAGTGATTGACAGGTGGGCAGAGTGCCCGTCAGGGGTCAGTGTCATGAGCTCCTCAGCTCCGTCGGGGTTGGGGTCAGGTTGGCAGATCCTGACACGAGCAGGAAGAAACTGGGGTGATGGTGCTCATTTTGGGGGAGCATGGCCGGTGGGGAGGCTCTCCCCAATGTGCCCCAACTTCCACCTGCTTCAGAAAGGGGAAGCAAGGATGCTGGTTCCTCCCGAACAACCTCCAGGGGGAGAACAGAGAACCCCAGTGGAGCACTTGTTTTCAATTTGGGCATTCTCACAAAATCAGCAAGTCGCACCTTTGCAGCTTGGGACAGTTGCTTCCTTGCAGATCTTGCCTGATTCCTGAACTTCTGAATTGTGAAGAATTTTTTTTAGACCAGTGCTTGTGGGTCTTTTGACTACCCTGACTCAGGGTGCTTTCAGAAAGTTCTGACTGCAATGAGGAATGCGCCGTTACCAGGATTCCCAGTTCCAGCAATTAATACCTTCTGGTTCCCTTCAGTGGGCTGTTGCTTCTCAGTCTTCACCACTGACACAAACCAGGGGAGGATTGGTGCTGCTGGAAGCTGGTCCCTGGAAAAGCCCCTGTCAGCGGCTGTCTCTCCACCTCTCCCTGAGCTGTACAGCAACAGATGCTTAGCCTCGCATCTGTGGAGTGCTCTGCTACCCTGCTCCAGCAAATGAAAATCTTCCTCTGGCCCTGGTCCAGCAAGCCAGCTGTTGTTATCAGTATTGGGTGCTTGATGCTGGTGTAAACATCCTTGTTTGCATCCAAAGGATTTGTGTATGTAGCAAAAGGCTGGGCGGGGGGTTGTTGGGGCCACGGAAGCAGAGTTGCTCCAGAATGGGACTAGCCACCCCTGCCCCACTTCTCCCTCTGCCAAGCGCCTCAGCATTCCCCTCTGCCACTATTTATAACTTGATAGGAGCTTGTTGAGCTCCTGTGCTTGCCCGGCAGTCATAATTGCATGAGCAGAGTAAGGAAAACAAGCTAATTGCAAAAAATAAGATGGCCTTGCTTTGAATATTCATCAGCTGAAAATGTGTCCCTGAATACAAAGCGGTTTTGCAGGCTGCTGCCTTTTTCAGCTCTCCCATTTTCTGCTCTGCTACTTAGGCAGTTTATCACTGCTGTTTGGGCAGGCGGGATGGTCCAACAGCAGAATCCCAGGCGGGGCTTGCAACAGTGGGCTCCCTATGGTTTCTCAGTGGGATGGTTAGCCCTGGCATCATTACAGTCTGTCCTGAAGCACATTCCCTTTCCTAAATCTTAGTGCAGTTCTGCCTGTTTTGGCTTTGTCTGTGAAATGGCGTTGCTGTAGCAGGTGGGAGGGGCTTTAGCCCAGCCTGCTATTACAATAGGCCCTGCGTTATCAAAACAACACGAGAGGGAAGGTAGCTTCGCCTTTCTCTGCGTCATGCACGTTTCCAGAAGTAAAACATTCCTGATCATGGCCCTGTCAAAGCTAAGCACTTTTAAACCCCATTGATTCTTTCCGAGGGAGGTACTTAACCACGTGCCCAATTCAGTGGTGCCCAAACGTGCTTGACTTCATACCATACCATTCCAATTTCATATATCCAAAGGCCCATACCACCCTTCGTGGTAGTGGTGCCCTCCCTGTGGAACACCCTCCCTTCAGATGTCAAGGAGATCAAGAACTACACAACTTTTAGAAGACATCTGAAAGCAGCCATGTATCTGGAGGTTTTTAATGCTTGATGTCTTACTGTGTTGCTGTGTTGCTTCATGGTACGTTCTTTCAGGTAACGTCCCGCGGCGACCTGGAAGTACCAGAAAGGGTTACTTCCGGGTTTTGCCGCTTGTGCATGCGCAGAAGCGCAAAATGACGTCATGTGCAGAAGCAGCAAATTTCAACCTGTGCATGCGCAGATGCGCCGCTGCAGGTTGCGCTCTTTTCATGTTGCGAAGGGCCTCCGGAACGGATCCCGTTCGCAACCAGAGGTACCACTGTATTTGGTTGGAGGCTACCCAGAGTGACCAGGGCAACCCAGCCAGATGAGCGAGGTAGAAATAAAACAACAACAACAACATATAATAAGATGAGCTGGGGTAGTTGTAGCAGAGCAGCTGGAATTGGGAAGGAAACAGTATTTAAAGGGGGGAGTGAGGGGAGCTTGATCCCTACAAGAATTGGTCTGCTATTTATTGTATAACAAAGAAATATGAAAGACGAATTGTGTTAGCTCATCTTTGCTATTGTAATAGCCATATTTGCATGCCATCAGCTGTTGCAGCAAGAGGCCATGGCTCAGCAGTAGCTGTGTGCAGGTATGTGAAAGTTAAAAGGAGACGATGGGAGAGACCCTTCCTCTGGTGAGATCATGGAGAGCAGTTGTCAGAGAAGACGAGGCGGACATTGATGGTCGGCTGCTGCCTGGGCCAAATCCTGCTGCTGTCCCATTGCATTCCTTGTATTCCCTTTTCAGTCTTTTCAAGAACTCTCTTTTGGAAAGAGAGTGTGTTTCAAGTCCAGTAGAGGGAGCCCATGTCTTACGTTCCTCATAGGAATGATAAGGACAGAGCATTAAAGCAGTTTCAGGTATCAGATCTGTGTTTTGTTTTTATTATTATTATTATTATTATTATTATTATTATTATTATTATTAATTAAGCCACCAGAGCAATACAGCTAGAGTAGTTCGGACATTTTCCTCACTTCTTTTTGGAGCGTGTGGCTGGCTAAAAGATGATTCTGTCGGGCCAAACAAAAGAAGAGCAAGACCCAGACTGGGCAGAGAATAAGTACTGAAACGGAATGACAACCTGTGGAGAGAAGTGTCTGAAAGTTATACAGTCACCTTGTTACCGTCTTTGCAAATTAACTCTTCTTGTTTCTTTTCATAACCTGCTAGTCTTACGCATCTTTCTTTTCCACTTCTAACGCAGGAAGGGGATTTCATAGATTTTATTTATTGTATTTTTTTTAATCCTATGTTCCCTCTACAGAGCTCAAGGTTCTCCTCCTCCCCAAATAAAATGTATCTTTACAACAACCCTGTGAGGTTGCATGGTTGTGTAGGGATTTTGCTGCTGTTGTAATCTTCAAGGTCACCTTTTGGTCTCCTGTCTGCTTTGAGGCCCAGCAGAACACCATCTGGCAATTGCGTACGTGCACACACACACACCTTCTTGCTTTTTGTGAACACAATTTTAAAGCCCTTTCTTTCTGTTACATTTTCCTTGGCAGGAACGTTTCCGACAACGCCATGTTGCAGTTGAAACCTTTCATATACTGGACCCTCCTGGGCCTTTTTGACGGCTGTGTGTTTTTCTTTGGGACTTACTTTTTTTTCATGAACTCTTCTATAGAGAACAATGGAAAGGTAAGAGGAACAAAGCCTTTTAAACCAAAAATCAGGCTGTGCCTGGAGTTGCTGAATGGTGCAACTCATTCCACGCACCCACGGGCTCATCGGATGTGTGTATCTAAAAGAGCATGCCCCTGTCATGCAGGAAACCACTTTTGAAACTGTGTGATTGTGGCAGGAAATGTCTTTCTTTCTTTCTTTCTTTCTTTCTTTCTTTCTTTCTTTCTTTCTTTCTTTCTTTCTTTCTTTCTTCCCTTGCTGGGAGGTGGGATTGAGGATTAGTACTGTGTTGTCCACAGGAGGGTTTTTTAACCTTTCTCCTTGTGTTTTTTTCTCAATTAACTTCCCCCACCCCATGAGTGGAGTGGGCAGTGTACTCGTTTTGTTTTTGTTGTTGTTTTTGTGTGTGTTTTTTCGTGCAAGTTAATAGAAATGCCATTGGGGGAGGGGGGAAGGATTACAAAACCTCTCCCCATGCTCCATGTCTTGATCTGAATGTTCACCTCCCCCAACCAACAGCTGCAATTGTCACTTCAAAAACCTGTGGGGAATCTTGCGTGTGTCTTCGTTTGCCCTCAGGTGACTTTGTGTAAATGTTAATTGCAAATTATGTATTTGACCATTGCAGTGGTGCATCTCTTCTATCAAACCTGTTTATTTGTGGCCTCTGTGCAAAGGTTGCTCTTACTGCCAGTAAATCAAAGCCTCTTTCAGATTTTGCAGTGTTCCATAAACTCCTTGTACAGTGTTTTTTTGGAAGCAGCAGTGGTTGGCAGCTTCCAAAAGAGAGATCCACATAGATCTACTTTGCTGCATCCTTGGTGTAGTGGTTAAGAGCGGTAGACTTATAATCTGGTGAACCTGGTTCACTTCCCTGCTCTTCCACATGCAGCTGCTGGGTGACCTTGAGCTAGTCACACTTCTCTGAAGTCTCTCAGCCCCACTCACCTCACAGAGTGTTTGTTGTGGGGGAGGAAGGGAAAGGAGATTGTTAGCCACTTTGAGACTCCTTAAGGGGAGTGAAAGACGGGATGTCATGTCCAACCTCCTCCTCCTCCTCCTCCTCTTCTTCTTCTTCTTGCAAAGTTGCTTCTTGTTGACCATTTAATCACGTTCCCTGGCTTTCTGCACCTTGACTTTCTGCCTGTTTGTCATTAAATGCAAAAGAATTTAAAAACAAACAAAAAAACAAACACTTTTTACATGTCACTTTCTGTTTTAATGTATGCATTCAGATCTTGACAGAATTTGGTAAGCAAATTGTCCCATTTGTTGCCATTGTTCTGACTTTGAAACACAGCCTGTTGCTTTTTCTTCAGTGCGGGTAGAGCCGAAAAATAAGAAAGAAGGAGATGCGTGAAAAAGGAGGGACAGCAGTCCACACATAAAGGCTTGTCCATGTGGGTGCTGAACCAGGCTCCTGTTTAGCACTGAACCAGAGGTTCGGGAATTGGATACTAGGGACGGGATTCAACTTAAGTTGCTGTATGAGCAAAGTCTGCTCACGCAGTGGGACCCCAACCCTCAGCGTGCCCTCTGCACCCCCTAAATCTGCTTTGGAGTGGTAGGGGAGCTCTACTTAGCACCATATTGAATTCCACACCCCATGAAGGCAGGGGTGATGCAGGCTGCATCATCCCATGATCGAAAAACGCAGATCAGTTGTTGTTTTTTAATTTGCCCTCTCCTCGACTGAGTGCATGTTCGGGAACATTACCCAGAATCCTCTGCAGAGACTGTACCTTCCTTGCAGTGCCAGTTCTTCTGTCGTACAATCGCAAAGCATTCTGAGTTTCTTTCATCTGGACCCCTTACCAGCCAACATAAACCTTTGTGGAAAGGAATGCTAACCTTGCTTCCTCACACCTGTGGTTGTTTTGTTTTTTTAAATCAGGAGACCACTATGGTTGCATTTTCTTTTCTTTTCTTTCCTTTTTAAAAAAAGAACCATTGAGCAAATTGCAGTAGATAGCCATAAATGTGCTCTGCAAGGTGTTTTTTTGTTTTTGTTTTGTTTTTGTTTTTTGGTTAGGGGGAAATGTTCTATTGATGATTGCAGTATCTTGCTCCTGTGGGGTGGGGATGAATTATTCAGTTCATTGTAATCATCTGTTTAATTCCTCGCCTGCCCTCTTTCAAAATTCTGAACCAGCCAACTCTGTTTTTCAGATGTCTGGGAACTGGAGTTTTGGAACAATGATTTTTACCATATTGGTGTTCACCGTCACTCTAAAGGTTAGTGTCCTCGTTTGATTTTTTTAAAAAGCCACCTCTCAATTTAGTTGTACAGGGGAGTTCCTGATACTGAGCTTGATGTATTGATGTTACTGGCAGTGATTTTCTTCCTTTAGCTCCAACTGCTGTAGTAATTAATGATAATTATGCCCTACAACATATTGTATCTAAAGCTCCCCATTCTCTTTTATCTCTTTCTCTTTTTCAAATACTCCAGCTGGCATTAGACACTCGGTTCTGGACGTGGGTGACCCACTTTGTCATTTGGGGTTCTTTGGTCTTCTATGTGTTTTTCTCATTCTTCTGGGGAGGAATCATTTGGTAAGCATTTTATTTTCAATTTATATTATTGTGCTCCAGCGTAATCTGCACCGATCGCACCCCAGATTTAAGTGTACTGTATTTGCGTATTTGGGGGGTGGGGTGGCTGTTTGGGTGTTTGTTTTTATTCTTATTATGTATTTTGTGGTTTTATATCTTGATTTTACTCTGTGAACCGTCCTGAGACCCCCAGGTATAGGGCGGTATATAAATTCAACAAATAATAATAATAATAATAATAATAATAATAATAATAATAATAATAATAATAATACCAAAAGATTAGTGGGGGGGGCGGGGAAATTGCGTGAGAACAAATACCTAAATAAATATGAGGTGCCTCCTTCTTTAACACAATGAGATTGATGGTGGGAGGGGGTTATTCACTGCTACTAAAAATATATTTTAAAACTTTTTAGGGACATGGGAACATAGAAAGTTGCCTTCTGCTAACTAAGGTCATTAGTCCATGTAGCTCAGCATTGTCAACAATGGCTAGCAGCGGCCTTCTCAGGCAGGGGCCTCTCTTTTACACCCCACCTGGAAATGCCTCCTGGAACCTTCTGGATGCAAAACATGTGCTCTCCTACCACTGAGCTATGACCCTTCCTCAGGACGAGGTAGTGGGAAGACCTATGCTCAGACTCTCACTTGGCCATGAAATTCACTAGCTGACCTTGCTAGCAAATGAGTCCACCTACAGCACAAGACTGCTGTGGCAATAAATTCTGTGTGCAGGGAGTGGCCCTGAGATCCAAAGGGAAGAGTCTGTGCCTTGGTGGTAGAGCACATGCTTTGCATGCAGAAGGCCTCGGATTGGAACCCCTGGCACCTCCAGTTGAAAGGGTCAGATAACAGGTGCTGGGGAATGACCCCTTCCTGAAATCTTGCAAAGCTGTGGCTAACCAAGAGTGGACAGCACAGGTCTTGGTGAACCAGTGGCCCAACTCAGTGTAAGTTAGCTTCATAGGGATAGCTCAGTTGGTAGAGCACAAGACTCTAAATCTCAGGGTTGTGGGTTTGAGCTCCACGTTGGGCAAAAAGAGTCCTTCACTTCAGGGGGTTGGACTAGATGCCCCTTGTGACCCCTTCCAACTCTGGTCTGTGATTCTATGTGCACAGATGGGGCTGGAGTATAAAATGCATTACCGTATTTTTCCATGTATAACACGCCCCCGTGTATAACACGATCTCTATTTTTGGGGACTCCAAATAAAGAAAATGGGGGGAGATTGCCCAGAATTGTTAAGCTTTTTTGGGGGGGGTTGCCCAGAGTTGTGGTTTGGGCAGGGATTGCCAAAAATCACTCACCTGCCTGACCGATGCTGAAAAATCGCTCATGTCGCCAAAGCCACCAGTTGTCTGCAGGCTTGCTGCCAGCAACCACCGATCGCCCGCCCAATTTCCACAGCGGATGCCAATCGACCGCAGTCATGGCCACAGCCACCAATCACCCACCCAATCACTGCTGACAATATGCTCGCGACAGAAACCAATCGCCAGTCCCCCATATGCACTATGTACAAGTGAACCCCCCAATTTTAAACTTGAAAAAATGGGGGAAATATAGTCTAATATACAGAAAAATATGGTAATCCTATATTATAATAGGGGCCTCAGGTCTCCCCAGTGCCAATCCTTGCATGTGCATGCATAGTTTTTTAAAGACTCGCCTGTCTACTTACAATCCCAGACCACTAAAATAACAGTAGAATGACAGTCCTCGTTAGAATCACAAATACTGGCACCAGAGCCTAAAACAGCCACTGGAACGTAAGACATCGAAAGCAAACTAGCAAAAGATTTGTGTGGGCAAAATGGCATGATCCATGTTCAGTGAAGGGGCTATCGGCAGATTTGAGAGAACAAGATGGGGGGTGGGTTGCAATGGCTCAGTGAAGGCCCAGTGGGCATTGGGAATACTGAGTGACTGTTTAGGAGGGGCATGGAAAACCAGGTGGTTAGGAGGGAGAATGTAATAGAATAGCCTGAGAGAGGGCATGGCCGGCTGGCATGAACTGGAGCACTCCATGCTACTTTCTGTTGCTTGTACTAAGTTTTCACATTCATATTACAGTGGTACCTCAGGTTACATATGCTTCAGGTTACATACGCTTCAGGTTACATACGCTTCAGGTTACAGACTCCGCTAGCCCAGAAATAGTACCTCGGGTTAATAAATTTTCTTCAGGATGAGAACAGAAATCGTGCTCCGGCGGCGCGGCAGCAGCGGGAGGCCCCATTAGCTAAAGTGGTGCTTCAGGCTAAGAACAGTTTCAGGTTAAGAACAGACCTCCAGAACGAATTAAGTACTTAACCTGAGGTACCACTATATAGTTGATTTATATATCATAAATCTTGATGCTTTGGGATAAATAAAAGAATGAGGCAAGCCTGTTCGGTTGAGGGGTGGTTTTTTGTTTCGTTTTGCTTTTTTAAATAAATCTAATGTGTGCCTTTCTTTCTCCCTCATTCTTTGCTGTTCCGGCCAGGCCTTTCTTGAAGCAACAAAGAATGTATCATGTCTTTGCCCAGCTGCTGACTTCTGTCTCAGTCTGGTTGGCAATATTTTGCCTGATCTTACTTGCCCTTCTCCCTGAGATCCTTTTCCAACTCTTTCGAAGCATGAAGAGAAAATGCCACCAGGTAAGGAGCGAACGGAAGAAGCCTGACATTTCTGAACCCGAAGAGTGGATCCCCCTCTTCTAAGCCATCTCTTTGGCAGGCAGGCTGTTTGGAACATTTGGAAAGCTCTGCCCAGATTATCTAGCAGTGCCTCATAGACAGCCAATGGCTCTTTGTCGAGATCAGCAAAGAGGATATCTCTGGGATATGGAAGGGCAGCTGGCAGTGCATAGCAGACAACAGCTTCATCCATCTAGCCTGTCCAGACCTGAACTCATAGAGGCTGGACCAAGACGAGCGAGAACGCAAGCAGGGGTTTCCAGAAAGAACTTTCCCCAAAAACTCCAAATCAGACCCAGACTCCATATTTTGAGGTTTTCAGCTGGACCTTTGCTTAAGGCTTCCTGCATCTCTTTCAGCAGTTGTGGAAGGTGGTGTTTTGTTTTTGTTTTTTATGAGTTGAGGAGATGTCCAATTTCTTTATGTCCCTTTATGTCTGATGAGGGCTGAATTGCGTACCTGTCTGAATCTGATACTGTAAGGAGCCATTTGTGCTGGAAGCATAAATCCCATAGCATACCTGTTGAGACCAGCAGGAAGGGAGCTTGGTTTTCCTCTGTGATGCTTAACAAGCACTAAACCCCAGCCGTCTTAAGTCCCTCACTTGGGCTAGTTGAATAGTACTTAGTTCTCAGTTTTTCAAAAACACTGCTAAGAGTCTGCTGCTCAGAAGCTGCGACTTTGACCCACTCACCCCCAGCAGCCACCATCCATGACAGATTGGGCCTGTCAGCTGAATCATCCTTTGTGTCAGTGAGGCCTTGGCAACAGTCGCCTGCTGCAAATGTACCTCCCTGGAAATCCTAGCCATGGGTGAGGAAGTGTGTGATCTGTGAGCTCATAAGCTCCGTACTTCCCCCTTGAGCATAAGTAGCCCCTCCCTGCCTTTCTAGCCTTAAACCTGGATTAATGCTGGTCAACCAGCTTGGGAGGGAATCCTGGATAATGCTAAGCATTGTAAGTGCCAGTGCAGATGGTAAACTGGGATTGCAGCTGGGCAGGGAACAGGTAGCCGATTTCTTAGTTGAGAGACCAGCAGTATTACATCTGCATCAGAACTCCCATATAATATTTGTTTCATATGGTTCTAGCCCATAAACCATTTCGTGAATTGCAGGTCTCCCTTTTCTTATTTGTCTTTTTTAAAAAATGCTGGAGTTGGCATTGTTTTAACAAGGATTTGGTGAGTTCTAAGGGATGCCTTCAGAAATATTTTCCGTTGGTTTTTTTTATACAGCGTGTTGAAAAATGTTGCCGTGTGCATTATGTTAGATTGTACTTTCATGCGGTTTTACAGTAAACTTTATGCACAATTAACATGTCAAAGAGTTGTCTTTGCTAAAGTATAAAAAAGGCACAATAGCATTATTATTAAAGTACCCCAAAATAAATTGAGGAGGCTGTAGATGCTTTTGATGGGTACCTGTCAGTCGAAGGAGTACTATACAAGGTAGCTTTGCCAGCAGAGGGCAGTGGCTAAAACTGAGCAAAGGTTTCCAGTTCAGACTGCAATTTCACAGGACGGCCTTCGGCTCAGCTCCCCACCCATATGTTTTTGGGGTGATTGGTACAAACATTGGTGTGATGTGAAGTGCTTTGAACACTCCACAGTAAGTTTTTGTTGTTGTTATTGCCCTTGACACATTGAATCCACTAATCCTGCTGTGTTTTCTGACTGGCAGATGGTGGGAGGGCCAACATTTCCCTCTTTCAAGTTACATTAACAGCACGTTTAGGGGCAAACAGTAGGCAGGTCCCCTGACAGTTTCCTAAAGGGTTTAAAAGGTGGGGAAATTGCATCAGGGTTCCAAGTCATGTGGGCAACCTTTCCACATAGAGTTGCCTCTCCAGGCACAGGGTTTTTTGTGGGGGACACAGGGCATTGTGTCCTTCTTGGCTGTTCTCCAGTGGCATGCTCCGGCACTGCTGCTCCCTGCTTCAAACCACACCAGCCAGCCCATGGAAGGAGGTAGGACCAGGCAAAGAGCACTGCACCAGAAGTGGTGGGGTTGATGAGCAGGCAGTTGCAAACCCTGTAAGGGTTAATGGCCAAATAGGACTGCAGACTTGTTGCACAGCAACATCCCTGCACCCTGTAGAGCCGGGGTGGGGTCCTGTGACCCTCCAGATATTCCTGACTCCCACCAGCCCTGGCTGAATTGGGAGGAATAGATTGTTTAGTGATTTTGGAGGTCAGATTAAAAACTCCGCCCCCCCCAAAGGCATGGATAGTCATATCTTGGTTCTTGAACGCCCTGCGATTCAAATGTTTTGGCTTCTAAACGCCGTAAACTCAGAAGTGAGTGTTCCGGTTTGCAAACTTTTTGGGAAGCTGAATGTCTGATGCAGCTTCTGTGGCTTCCGATTGGGTGCAGGAAGCTCTTGCAGCCAATCGGAAGTTGTGCCTTGGTTTTCAAACTTCCAGAACAGATTCCATTCAAGAACCAAGGTACGACTGCAATCCGTTGTGGGCATCACAATGTATCCAGTTCACAAAAGAAAACCTCAGACCTGCCCCCTTCATGAAAAGGGCAAAACACTGAAACACACACAAACAAAAAGCCAGGCATCACCCCGTCTTGATCCACCAGCCCAAAGGAGGGGTTGTGGGAGTGGTTGGGTGCAGGGGTATCAAGGATGGATGCCAAAAACGCCAGAGAGATCAGTTCTAGTGCTTTATTAAAAGAAAGGTGTAGATTAACAGCAAATCAGCCTGCCAGCCTTTACAGACATGGAACTGTCACCGCAGCAAGGAGATGGCTTGTCCGTGCCCAAGCAAACGTGCATATGTTTCTTTATACACCAAGTAGCACACGTCACTTTGGCCAGGACTTCCCATCACTTCACCTGACTAGAAGAGGACATAGGTGGCAAGCACCCAAATCTTACAGAGAGTTCCTGTTTCTGGGCTCAGAGCCCAGCACCCGAAGCCCACAGATAAGGATAGCATCAAAGCCAGCCAATTAGCGTATATCAAAGCAAGTGAATATAAACATATATGAGCTCCTTGCTACAGCAACTACCAGTTAATTGTGGGGTTATCTTGACTACCAAGATGGCATTAGCAAAGCTTCTGGAGCTGTTCACCTTTGGTTCAGCACAACCCCAACTAGGGATGGGGAAGAAGTTCAGCTCAGTTTGGGTTTAAGTGCGTACCTACCTATTTTGCACTTTCTGAAAGAATAACCAAAACTCCGTCACCCTTTGAAATTTGCAGTTCTCTGCATTTTGCAATGCAGTTACCCAGTCAAGTAATGTATTTAAAAAATGCATAATGTAAATTGTGCGTGTGAAATGCTGTATGCTAGGGGCAATTGCTTTGCAAAATGTGTGTATTAGGCAAAATTGCAAGCATTTGTATATCAGGGTTGCAATATTGCAAGTGACACTGCAATATTGATGAATTTTCACAAAGACAAGTGAGGAGAACTGAAAATATGACTGGGAGTGTGTGAAACTCAGAAAAACTGCAATTATTCATCCCTAAGCCCAACCAAACACCCTTTCCCCAAAATGAAAATACTCTTTGAAAAGAGAGGGAGAGAGGAGTGGGTGGGTGGGATAGCGGGTATTGGCAGACACCAAGAAGGATCCGTGGTGCCCCCGGGCACCAAGTTAGGGTTCCCAACATTAAACTGGGATGAACAAATAGCACAACTGGCTGTGTTGTGTGCTTGTGTTCTCTCTTGGTGTGGAGTCCAAGAGAGACAGACAGTTCACTTCCCTCTTAAAATCTGTGTTCCAGTTCTTTTTATTACAGTCAGTTCCTTCAATTTATTTTTTATACAGAGCACAGTTGAGCGGGGAGAAGACTTGCAAAACTGCTCTGGGAAGAAAGGGGGTGTTCACAATGTTCCAGGTTCCAGCCAATCAGTGCTGTGCACAGCCAACTTCTGCAAACCAGGATTTCCTGTGAACTTAATGAGATGATTGTTCATTGGAACAAAATTCAATGATGGTGCCTCCAGAAGCAGACTTCCTAAAATTATATGCAACTGTATATAACCCTGTATGGAGTCTGAGGCACTTATGGAAGGAGAAAGGAGGTTTTTCAGTTCAAAGGACAAAATCCTTTTCTCATTTTACAGCTTGAATAAATATTATATGTGGCTGTTTTATTCAAGCTGCAAAATGAGAAAAGGGTTTTGTCCTTTGATCCTCGAATTTTTATGCAGTCTGACCAAGAGAAACTATCAGTTCTGGCAAATGAGAAGATTTTCTTGTGAAAGATTTATCAGGGGGAAAAAGAGACAACTGGTATCACAGTATAGTATTGTGTGACGTATTCAACTTCTTTGGTTGGCCAATCTAAAAAAACAAAGGTGTGTGAAAATGCAACCCAAGTGAGTGGGAACTGAGGTGGTAGGGCATTTTCCCTCTCGAAAGGCTAAAGCAAAGATACGAAATCTGTGCCCCTTCAGATGTTGGTGAGCTATAGTAGCTCTCATCATTCTTGATTGGCTGGCCATGTTGACTGTGTCTGACAGCAGTTGAATTCAGTAACACCTCAGCGTACCAGCTTCCTCTCCCCATGGTCTAGGAACATGGCAGAGTTTTACAAAAATTGGGAGAAGAATTGAGAGCAAGTGAAGTTTGATACACCTTCTCCTGCCCCCAGAAAAGAGACAGTCACCCAATGAAATTGACGGTAGACAAAAGAATGTTTCTTCCTTTGTGGCAGCACCTTCCATATGAGAGGCGTAGTCAAAGTGGTACCCTCTAGGCCAGTACTTCTCAAACTTGGGTCTCCAGCTGTTTATGGACTACAAATCCCATCATCTCTAGCTAGCGGGACCAGTAGTCAGGGATGGTAGCAGTTGTAGTCCAACAACAGCTGGGGCCCCCAAGTGTGACAAACGCTGTTCTAGGTGTTGCTAGGCTGTAGTTCCCATCACCAACCACCATGGCTGTGGTTGATGAGAGCTAGAGTCCATCATCTAAATGGTAATAGGTTACCTTAT